CCATCCACCCCCTCTTCATTTCAGTGATTACTCTTAATATTGTTCAGTCATTTACCAAAACCAGTCTTATCTTAACAAATACTAGCCCCGCCCACCCACCCTCTCCTTTCTTAGAGAATACCTCATTTGCCAAAATCACTCTTATCTTAGAAAGTACTAGTCCCGCCCACCCGCCCTCTCTTTTCTTAGAAGATATGTCATCTGCCAAAATCACTCTTACCTTAGCAAGTACTAACCCCGCCCACCTGTGTTTTTCTCAGTCTAACGATTTTATATATTTGTATATCCCGACGTGCTGATTCCAAAAATATACCATGTTTATGGTAACGGAGCAATATTTTCGAAAAATTCGCTGTGAAATTCAAATTTTTCGAAATTTTTAAAAATTGCGATATTTCAACGATTCTGGAAAAATGGTTTAAGTTATCGAAGAAATGAAGCCAGAAGTGACTTCTGTGGTCCAAAATCTATAAGAAAATATTTAGTTAAATTTCGAAAATCGTCGAGAATGGGTCGAAATTTGTATAATGGAGGTAATACGAATACATAATGGAAAATTTCATTTTTGAAAAATTCATCTAAAAATTCTGAAAAATTTCAGGGTATAGATCCTGGGGTGTTTATTCCAAAAGATAGCGTGTTTATGGTCACAGGGTTATATTTTTATTTCCCGAGCGTAAGCAAAGGAAGTATTGTAATCGAGTCCGTCGGCCGACTCTCTACTTTTACGTTTTCTCGATCTTTCATGACCCCTAGAAGACGAAGAAATAGGTCTCCCATTTCCGTCTGTCTGTCCGTCTGTCCGTCCGTCTGTCCGTCTGTTGTCCCGGATTTTTATTAGACAGATAATCTCCGAAAGTACTCGACCGATTGCTGTGAAATTTTGTACTTATATTAAGAATATCATGTAAATGGTAAAACGCTAACCAAAATTTGTCTAATCATCCCCACCACTAATGCGATGACGTCACTTCAAAATTGTACATAGTAAATGGGTTTTCAATTGTATAAAATAACATAGTCCTACACATGTAGTTTACAACTCTGAATCGACTTTTCACCCGAAACGTCCAGATTTTTGGAAAAAAAATCAAAATTATAAAACAACATTTTGAAATTTAATTTTTAATCTGCTAACCAGAATGCTTTGAAATGTTGCAGATGTTTTAAGGCTATAAAGAGCATCATAAATCTTTAGTCAAAAAATATTTGCTTATCCCCTCCAAAAACTTGATGACGTCAGCTCAAAAGTTTGCTGAATAAATCCTATCTAAAATGTACAAAATATGGTGAGTCTCTTCTTGTGATTTATCATTCCATTCAAATTTTTTCGGTTTGCATATACAGGGTGACTCAAAAAAATTAATGAATGCGTAAATTTATTTTATTGATTTAATCAGGAACTACAAAACCGAATGCTTTGAAATCTTGGGAATATTTTAAAGTTATTATAAGCATGGTAAACTTTTGTTCAAAATGTATTTGTTCATCCCTCCTAAAAAAATTGATGACGTCACCCTTAAATTTTGCTGAATAAATCCTATCTAAAATGCAAAAAATATGATGAGTTTGTACTTGTGATTTATCATTCCATTCATATTTTTTAGATTTTCTTAAGAGGTGGTTCAAAAAAATTAATGAAGTCAATTTATTTTATTGATTAAATTAAAGGCAACACTTATTATTAGTATTACACCCCAACCAACCCAATTTGGTAGACACAAAATTTGTTAAAGGAAAAACTCGGTTGAAACATAAGGGTAGCACGCTTATTTACATCGACTTTAACATTACAGACCTGCATTTGTTTTATGCGTTCACTTGGTTCCGCGAATGTGAAATAGACATGTTTATAATCAACCAATTGTGAATTTCACCGTCAAGAATTAAAATAAAACCCAATGTTTTATATAATAAGCGGAAGTCGAAGCAATAAAACCGATGGTCGTTTTGTTTACAGTTTGTCTGTTTGACTCTCACGTATGCTGTTACGCTCGTCATCTTAAATTAAGAATGTTTATACATAAACGATTTTCAGTTGCCCCTCATATACTAGACAGCGGATTTCTGTCGGGCTACGTCACGATTATAGGGGGGGACGTGCTGGATTCCATAAATATAATTAACGATTTATTAATCAAACGGCTAAGTAAATGAGAACAGGAATTAACAGCAGAGTGCAACGAAACAACGTTATTCTAATCTCAAATAAACGAAGTGCAGTCCGCAACGGCAATGAATTCGCATCACGTGCGAGCCGTACCGAGTTTGGCCTTGCCTAGCCCGACAGAAATCCGCTCTCTAGATATTACACACCGGCGCCGTATACGTGAGTAAATTGTTTCGTTATTTTATTGATTATAAGAAATCAATATTCAAAACGACCCAATTCATTTTCCCGAAAATTTGGGAACACAATAATTTTATTCTTAGTATTACACTACATCTATCCCAACTGATATACGTGTCCTTGCAAAAATGTTGATGACGTCATCACAATTTTTTTTTAAATTCCCACTACAAAAATGTAATGAGAAAAAAAAACATAATAGGCATGCAGTCGTCAAGTTTCCGACAGCGAGGGAAGTACTGTCTAAACTCTTTAGACCAATTTTTTTAGAATGTATCTATTATTATCCATTGTTGCTTAAGAATTCTTTCATTTTTGTTTAATAAAATTTAGGTTTACTTCTTGAAGTTTGTTTTCAGTTGTGTATGAAGTTGTTATTCAATTCCTTTTCAGATTTTTGATAAAATTGCTGATTCGAACAAATCGTTAATCCGAACACACCTTTTTCCCAATTAATTAGGATTATCGAGGTTCTACTGTACACTATACCTGTAATGAAAAGAACCAAATGTCACCCATGTTATGTGAAAAAGAGTATACTAGCTAAAATTTTATAAATTTTTTTGTTTAGAACGAATTTCTGGTAGATAGGTAAAATTGTACAAAAATTGCCCCCCTATGAACGAAATCCTGTATCCGCGCCTGCGGATCACGCGATTCCGGCATTCTTTCAAACTACTTCAAAAACAAAACACAAAGTGCCCCTAAAATTCTTTCAAATAATTTCAAAAATAAAACACAAGGGATCCCCGAAATTCTTTCAAACTACTTCAAAAACAAAAGACGGGGGGTCCCCGACATTATTTCAAATTACTTTAAAACACAACCGACAGGGAGTCTCCAAGATTCTTTCAAAGTATTTCAAAAACAAAACACAAGGGATCCCCGAGATTATTTCAAATTACTTACTTTAAAAACAAGATCCACAGGGAGTCTCCGAGGTGTTCAAACTACTTCAAAATAAAACACAATGGGTCCCCGAAATTACTTCAAAATGCTTTAAAAACAAGATCTACAGGAATTCCCCGAGATTCTTTCAAACTACTTCAAAAACAAAACACAACAGTTCCCCGAGATTATTTCAAATTACTCCAAAAACGAGACACAAGGAATTTCCGAGATCCTGATCAATTGCTTCAAAAATAACACACATGAAAATATATGCCCAAGATTCTTTCAAATTACTTTAAAAACAAGTTCCACAGAGACTCCCCTAGATTCTTTCAAATTACTTCAAAAACAAAACACAAGGAGTCCCCGAGATTATTTCAAATTACTTTAAAAACGAAATGCACAGGGAGTCCCCGAGATCATTCAAACTACTTCAAAAGAAAACACAATGGGTCCCCGATATTACTTCAAAATGCTTTAAAAACAATATTCACAGATTTTTTCAAATGAGTTCTAACACAAGACATTGCGGAATACGGGTTTCTGAGATTCTTTCAAACTTCTTCAAAAACAAAACGCAGTGGGACCCCGAGATTCTTTCAAACCGCTTCAAAAACAATATACAGGAAGATCCCTGAGGTTCTTTCAAATTACTTCAAAAACAATGCACAGAAAAATTCCCAAGATTCCTTGAAATTTCTCAAAATACAAGACATCACGGTTCACGTTATTCCAAGATTATTTCAAACTAACTACTTCAAAATAAAACACAAGTGGTCAACGAGCTTATTTCAAATTGTTTTAAAAATGCTATACAGAAAGATTCCCGAAATTCTTTCAAACTACTTCAGAAACCAGACCCAAAGGTAGTCCCCGAAATTCTTTCAAATCACTTCAAAAACAGGACATAAGGGGTCCCGGATATTCTTTCAAATTACTTCAAAGACAAAACACCATTTTCCAACGTCGATGTCAGTATCCAAATCTTAAATCCTTCCAGGCGTCGGTCTAAATTTTTCCTACGCTGGTTCACCAGGTCCCATTCTCTTCTAAATACTGGCCACAATAACGTTCCTTAATGCCACTCGACTGTATATAGATACCATATGATCGTAAAAAATTCACCAACGCGTTCCTTGTTCAGTTTGATAGTTACGGTCAAATAATAATTGGCCAATAATGTGTCAAATAGCTACCAAATACCAACATAATCATATTAAAAACAAATTTCACACAATATCTATCTGGCCTAGTATGGCAAAAATCAGGGAGTTCTCACCCTCTGCATTACTCAGTTGGGTGGCTTGACGAGTAGAGGAGCTGGAAAAAACCCTGATATGGGCCCAAAGGCGAGGCCTAAGTGCCGGCTTCGGTCAACACCCAAAATTTAGAATCCAGAATCCGCATAATATGTACGTTCTATTACAGGACTTCTTTCGATCATATTGCTTAAGTACGAGCAAATACCAATACATCACACAAACAACAGTTTTTATTTGTTCTCGGATTTTATGGCAAAATTTAAAATTGCATTGCTCATCTGAACGGTTTACGTAGAACTCATTAAACACATTTCCTACCAATTAAAATTTTATTTGAAGCATGAACGAAGTTAAAGTTTTGTTGCTATCATAAATATGTATTGAGACCCTGATAGAAACCACTAATACGAACTACAAAACTGGAAATTCCGGTACCGACTTGTTAAATGAATTGGTCACGCACTGAATATGATATACCTATATTTATTTTTTCCCAGGTCCTCCGGATGCACCAAGCGGAACGCCTTGCGTCTCGGCCAACATGGACAGCGTCACCGTAGCGTGGAGCAGCTCACCTTACGATGGCGGCAAAATAGTTACCGGATACGCTGTCGAATACTCTTTAGCGGGCAGCGACGTCTGGACCACCGCAACCGAAGACTGCTACTCCCTTAGTTACACAATAAGTGGGCTGCAACCTGGAGCTCGATACATTTTTCGAGTTCGGGCACAGAATGTCCACGGATACAGCAAACCTAGTCAAGAATCGGATACTCTTCTTCTAGAGGAGAAAAGTAAAACGGTGGTCCTAGAAGTGAGTGTTAATTTTATAGATATCGTTTCAGGTGATTCGGCCTTCGAACCAAGAATTGTCGCTTTAGAACCTGGACCAGAGTTTAAACTGAGGTACGAAGTAATGGAAGAACTCGGAAAAGGACGTTTCGGGGTGGTTCACAAAGTGATAGAGAAAACAACGTCGCAGAAACTTGCTGCTAAATTTATTAAATGCAGAACTTCCAAAGACAGAGATAAAGTACAAGACGAGATTGATATTATGAATCTCCTCAGGCATCAGAAGCTGTTGCAGTTGGCTGCAGCCTTCGAGAATCCCAAAGAAATGGTCATGGTTACGGAATAGTAAGTTGTGGATTTTATGTCGTTTTTGTAACTAAATATTTGTGACTATTTTAGTATTTCCGGTGGTGAATTATTTGAACGTGTGGTCGCTGATGACTTCACTTTGACTGAAAAAGACTGTATTCTCTTCATGCGTCAAATCTGCGAAGGTGTAGCCTACATGCATAGTCTAAATATAGTCCATTTAGATTTAAAGCCTGAAAACATTATGTGTCACACGAGGACATCTCACGAAATCAAGATCATCGATTTTGGGTTAGCTCAGAAACTCAATCCAGACAAACCAATTCGGGTACTCTTCGGTACCCCGGAGTTTATTCCTCCGGAAATCATCAATTACGAACCTATAGGAGTCGAATCAGATATGTGGTCTTTAGGTGTCATCTGTTACGTATTGTAATGAAAATTTATGAAGTGAAATTTCGTCTTCTTATCCTAATTGTTTCCAGATTATCCGGTCTTTCACCTTTTATGGGAGACAATGATGCTGAAACTTTCGCCAATATCACCAGGGCTGACTACGATTTCGAAGACGAAGCATTTAATACGGTGTCACAACATGCTCGAGATTTCATCGGTGCACTACTAGTTAAAAGAAAAGAGTAAGTACCGGCACTTTCTATCGTTTCCAACTTGACAAAAAAAATTTCAGTGATCGCTTGTCTGCCGAACAGTGCTTGAAACATATTTGGTTGGACCCCGAAAATCACAAAAGTACGGTAGTACTTTCAACAGATAAACTTAAGAAATTCATAATTAGGCGGAAGTGGCAGGTACATTACGTTTGTGTTTATACTTTTATTGACTTTTATTTTGCTTGCTTTATTTTAATCGTGCTTGCATGTTTGTTTGATGTGTTGCTTACTAGAAAACGGGCAATGCTATCCGCGCACTTGGAAGAATGGCAACACTTTCAGCAAGTAGAAGAAACTCTGCCAATTCTAACCCCAACACCCCGAGGGCGTCAATAACGGGAAGAATGTCGAGTTTAAACGAAGAGGAAACGAATAATGTTTATTCATTAGAATCAGAACCTAAATCTTTACCAGTGGACCTAATTTGCGATGACAATATTACTTCTGTATTGGAAGAAAATGTCGACGATACGAAAAAAACTATACATGGCAGAGCCTGTACTGAACGTAGCGACAGCGGAATCAGCGATTGTTCCTCACACTTGACTTCTAGTTCTTGTACATCTACCCCGCTGTTTGGGAAAAAGATTCCCATCGACGAAGAACCGGAACTAGACACAGGAACTCTCCATGAAGATGTGCCTTCACCGCTTGAGGAGCAGAGCGCGGTTGTTTTAAATACTCCCAAAGATAATTCTTGTTTGAAGGACGTAAGTGAGCAAACTAACAGTTCTAACGAATCAAGTAGCACAGAAGCAAGTTTCGACGATATAAACGAAACCAAAAAATCTAACGGGTTGAATCTGGAAAGTAAAATAGACACTTTAACGAAGAGAGCAACGGCAAAATGTAAGTAGATTTTGTTGCTTGTGACGGAGTGTTAATTATTATTTAGGTTTTATAACAACTACTCAGATTTTAACTATAAATTATTATTCCAGGCAAATCACCAAGTTCGACAGGTAGCTTGAAGAGGCTGCCAATTTACTCATCAAGATCAGTAGCCAAAACTATCAAAAAATTCGACAAAATCGAAAAATCACCAAAAACTGTAGTTAATAATAGATTTGATAAAGACCAAAATTCTAAACTTAGTAATAAAGATAAAAATGAAGTAAACATGCTTGAAGTCAACAACAAATTAAATAGTGTTAAAACTATTTCTTCACCTATACAACAAAAAAAGATATTTAGTAGCCCAAAATTTGTAGAAACTAAGAATGAAAGTTTAGTATGTAAATCCAAAGTAGAGAAAATAGTTCAGAAAATGTCTGTATCTGACAGTAATGCAGCTAACAATAATAATAACAATATAAACTTAAAACCTGTAGGTAGTGTGAAATGTAAATGTCCATCGCCTTCTCTCTTGAGAAAAACTCAAGCAGTGATAGCCAAAGAGCAATCTAATGAATATTACATGTCTAAGCATAATCACGAAAATAAAGTTCATACACCAAAACATATGGTTGATCAAAATTCTAAATTTCCGAAATCTCCGGTCGCAGGTAGACGAGAAAAACCAAAAAGTGCCAGCTTTCAAAAAGCTGCCGCTTTTTGGAATTCTCCAAAAACTTAACTTGTTTTACCCCAACACCTCGAAGAACACGTAATAAAAGTACCTATTTATGTATAATGTATATATTTATATTTACTATTATAGTGCCTTAAGATGTATAAATACACTTAGCTATAGGTCTGCTCTCTTGTTCTAACGTTTTGTGTTTTAAAGAGCCGCTGTACCCTCCCCTGTACCTATTACTTATGTAACTATAACAAAAATAAAATATATTTATTATTGTTGATGCCTCTTTTCATCGAGATATCTACGTGAAAATAGCCTAGGCACAACCAACAAACTTTTTCTTGTGTTTTCCAACATCTGACATCCGAAATACCAAGAAAATTATCAGATTTAAGCTAAAAATAATATTTTTGGCGAATTTTATAAGTTCTGAATATTGTATTTCGACTTAACGATTCTGAACGCACTTGCGATATGCAGGATCGACTATTTTGTGAAAAGGAGACGATTGGGTATATTTTCCACATTCTGGCGTCTGCGGATTCAAATAATTCGTTTAAAACCGTCAGAAGTGTTACTTTTCAAGTTTGTTCTGTTGTTTTCCAACGTTTTCGGCACCCAGTGGGCCCAAAAATACAAACAGAACCATCAGACTTTAGCAAGAAATCCTAGCTTTGATGAATTTTGTAAGTCGACTTGTTTTGACGATTCTGAACGTCGATTGGGTATATTTTCCACGTTCTGATGTTTGTAGATTCAAAGAATTCGTTCCGACCCACCAACAAACTGATGACGTGACCTGAAAATTTTGCATAGCTGATGTAATCAATTGTTAAATAATTACAAAATAATATACTCCTGCACGTCGAGCTTGTGAATCCGTCTGTATGTTCAGTTGTTTACCTTAAACCTAAAATTTTTGAAAAAAAAAATCAAAATTCTGTAACAATAGTTTGTAATTTTACTCTAAAACTGCAACACTGAATCCTGTGAAACCTTGCAAACTTTTCAAGGTCATCGTAACCACAGTAAATCGTTAATCAGTGCATTCATATTTTTGGAATTGCTGATACAGGATGACTCAAAAAAAATTAATAAAGCAATTTGTTTCTTAAAAAGTTGACGATCGCAACATTTTGAAATGGAAAAGCGCACTTGAAACATACGCACAGCCTGGTTCTTTCCCTTCACTTTAACTCTACACACATCTTTATTTTGACTTGTAGGGGCTACCATAAAAAAATCAAATTTGCAAACTCAAATTTTATCATTTTTCGTAAAAGCCGGATATGTTGGACTATACTTCAGACGACGGAAGTCCTCTTTAAATAACCTTAAACCAATTTGTTTCGCATTGAATGTTTAATGAAATGTCATATGATTCTTTAATTCCTTGGAGAGCTTCTAACAACTTTCATTAATTTCGCTACGAAGCAGTTCGCTAGTTTTTGCTGTTGTTAATTGCAGTTGTTGTAAATATATTACTTTAATCTGGTAGGTTTTATTATTGTTATATCTATTTTTATCAGATTATGACAAAAATTGATCGAACTTACTGTAATATCAGGAAATAACATGTATAAATACACAAATTAACATCATGTTATGGTTATAAGACCTAAGTGCAAAATGTAGACTGAAATAATCTCCACCATGAGAATTACAATTAATCTTTCCCAATATCTTGTTTATTATATCACTGAATATACAACGATACAAAAATTATTAAGTTACACCTTGAATTACAAAAAAAAACTGTTTAAGTTCACACTAGTTTCTAACGCCTGTCCATGCTAGACCTTGGTAACCGACATCGTTTTCGACTACGATTAATTCTACCACGTCTCGATACCAGTATTTTGAAGGAGCAAAAAATAAAGCAGTTAAATATTCCTTCAGGTGTACAGTTTCTGCTTTCACTTAAAAAACGTAAACCATTAACTGAAATAAAAATTTTAACTTCTCGATAAGTGTTTAAAATATCAGATATTATTGTATGTCTTAGCAACCTGAAAATGACAATTTGTTTTAATTGTTTACAGTATTGAGTTAATTTCTATGCTCTTTGTTTTAATATCTCACAATTAACATCTTCTTCTGCTTTAACAACTTGTAAAACATTTGCCACTTTTTTGTTGTCCCTATATGTGATAATTTCCTTCTTCCAAAATGTATTTAAATCTGCCGATCCGTAATAATAGTAACAGCAGCTTTTCTAGGACAATTTATAACAACATATGTATGAAAACTAAACTAAATACAGATACTGCTGAGTACTGCTACATAACATTGACAGATCTGAGCGCTATTGACAATATGTTTATATCACATACCTAGATGAGATAAACAGTTGAAATGACCAGAGAGTTCAGATTTGCATAAATAAAATATTAAGTTTTGTCTTGAATTTAACCGAGGAATCAAGATGTTGAACAGAGATAATAAGTAAGTATAATAATAATAATGGTAATTTATTATCCAATAGACAAAAGATCTATGTGGATACTTGTACATAACTCCGGATAAGTATACACAATACATATAACACAAAAAAAAACAATACAAAACAATTAAACAACTAAACACGAATCACTAAAAATTGATATAACAAGACGTGCAGGAACTTCAACTACAGTGGCGTAAGAACAACTTTTTTACATAGATAAGTAAAATGTTTGATACTCTGTAACCTCTGCACATATCACATATTATACATCAGCGAATGGGAATGTTGATTAGTTCTACACCAACCTATCGCAAATGTTCTAGTACTCGTATATCCACAATTTAAGCACGGGACGTGAAATTTACTATTACTAAGCAAAGTTTCTGAAGAAACTTTCCCGTGGATCAGCTTATATAATAATTAGAGATGTACCGACTGTAGGTCTGGCCGACTAACCGACTAGCCGATTGTTCGGCCAGTAAAAACCGACTAGTCGGCCGACTGTTCGGCTTTGCTAAAACCAGTTTATAAATGCGACAGATAGTGTGTTTTTTTTTCTATTTCTCTGACTACCTTAAAAATTTGTTTTATTTTAATAAAAGGAATAACTAAAGTTCCTTTGTGTTCAAAAAAATGTGTTAAATTTGTTTGGATAATTTTAACATTTATTTTTTTTTTAGTAACTCAGTACAAAAATAAAGAATAACACAATTTAAGGCCAGTTTATACAATATTTTAACTGAGATTAAGTTGATCGCGCATTTCACAAGGCCATTAGCGACGTCTGTTTGGCGTAGTGTCGGTCACATGGTATTTTAACGCGGGGTTAAAAATTAAATCGCAATTGAATAATTAATTAAGGTTCTGTAAACCGGGTTTAATTGTTTTATATACTATTTTAATTTTAATAAAAAAAGCCGACCGATCGGCTGTTTAGCCGACTAGTCGCCGACTGCAGCCGACGATGAAAAACGGCCGAATAGTCGGCTTATCCGACCGGTCGGCCAGTAATCGGTACATCCCTAATAATAATAGAATCTTTGCCACCGTTCTTCTATCCTTCATTGAGTTCAGATTAACTTCATTGACAAGAAGTTCGCTCGAATATGTTCTTATACGGGATATCTGTCAAATTTAACATAAAACAAATGTTTACAAAATTTTATTTTAATACGCTCTATTGAAGATATAATGAATTTTGTAGTATGAATAGAACGAATAAACGAATAATATAAACTGTGCCTCAAAAGTTAAGCATATTGAAATTAAATTAATTTAAGCCTACTCAATTGATTCGAAAATTATCAAAAAACTAATAAACATGTCTTGCATCAATATCTTTAACTTTTGACGCACAGTTTAATACAAGCAAAGAATGAACATTGATAAAACCCACAGTGTTTCTTATAGTAAACCCTAACATTCTATTAGCATGATGAAATTATTAAGATCATTTGAATCGAGTAGCAATCTTAGAGTGTGGTAATAGTTTTAGCCACCTTTAGGTCATCAACGTACACAAAGATGGGACACTTAAATTCTAGAAGTGCGTCATTGAAGTATATAATAAATACAATAGGTCCAAAGTTGCCCCTTGCGTAACACCACTCGTAGATACATAAGTTTTAGAGCTAAAACCACGATTAAATTGCTACACAATCCAAATTTACTAAACTTATTAAGCAAAATCGAGTGATTAACCGCATCGAAAGCTTTGCATAAGCCTGTGTAAACAACATCAATTTGTTGAAGTTGACTTTCCTTTTGTAAAGTCATGTTGACTAGGACTAAGTTGATTAGATACGTGACTATATACATTATTAGCTACAATTCTTTCGAAGATCTTACTAAAATTGGAAACTATTGCAATGGGCCTATAATTCTCAATGTTGTTACGTACACCAAATTTTAAGACCGCGATAACTTTAGTAGTTTTCCAGATATTAGGATATATAGCCTCAACAATAATTAAATTAAACAAGTAGCAAAGGGGTTCACATAAACAAGAAATCAGTCTTTTTACAAGGAACGCAGGCACAATGTCAGGACCCATAGTTATATTAGAATTGACTTTTTTGCGCAATATGCTCTCTTTCTCTATCACAGACTGGAAAATTATCACAGATATCACTACTAAAGACATTACTGAAATGAGTCGCAAAATGGTTGACAATTTTTTGTGAATCGATTAATTCAATACTTTTATTGAACACATGGCCTAGGATACTCGAGACATTTTTCTTTTGATTAATATATGCCCACAAATTTTTTGGATCTTGCTTGATGTTCGTTTCCGCCGATACCATAAAGTTGATATATGCCACTTTGAATTCTTTCTTAGTGAGTTTCCTAAGATCATTAATTTGTGATAATACTCTTTCAAATTTGTTGTTTTTATAGCTCTTCGATAATTGACGCTTACGTTTAATATGGCCAATGATAGATGGTGTATACCAAACAGGATAATATGTCGTTGTATTCATCAGAGTCTTGGGAATGAATATCTAAAAACTCATAAAGAATAGAATAGAAATAGTCTCAATCTCAATCAACATGGATATCTTTAATAACTAGTAGTTGAGGCCAGTCTGTGTTATTCAGGTATCTGTAGAGTATCTCTATACATATAATTTCCTTTACGAAAATTATATTTGGTCTTAATTCTCGAAAAGTTGAAATTGGACTCTTTCAAATTAGCTACAGGAACTTCTAGAATGATACTGTTATGTTTGTATAATAAACGGTGTATTGGATAAATCTCTTTATTTATCGTCCGTACAAATTGGAGTGTTATTTTATATATTCAATTCTCGTAACTATTTATTTACATAACAAAAGTAAGTCTATGTATCCTACTAGATATCTAACAGATACATAGCGCAGGATGGGTATTAGACGGCATTACAGAACATTCCAAATCCTTAGAACAACGTTTTAAGTCTATAAGAGTCCATCTTTGGCATTAGTTACTAAGTTCTGTTGCTGCTCATTGTTAAAATTAATAAAATCACACAGTGGAATAATAAATGTATAAATTTAGTATATTTTTAAACTGACGTTTTCATTCAACTGCACCTTGACTCCAATTAAATCAACATCCGTAACAGACGATGTTAGTTTTAATTGTTTACTATACAGATGAGATTTAATCGCTAACAAAACTCCTTTTCCTCTGCCCTTTTTATTTGCTCTGAAGACATTAAATAATGAACTAAAATACAAAATACAATCAACTTTCAACTTTGTTCCTCTCGTATAAAGTTTCAATATTCAAGACCGCTAATAGTCTGTGATGATTAAAACCGCTGTTAGAATAAACATCAAATGTTCTGAATATACAAAGTTACGAAATCTCTGGACATTTTATAACCTAGTCGTGTAATAAAAGTAATAGGGACAATACTAACCATACTGAACTCCAATATTCCAATCTTGATCTAACATACGAAAAATAAAGGGATTTTATAACTAATGAATTTTTAAAACCACTGGTATTCCCGATTATAAAATCCAAACATTTCATTGACAAATTTATGATCGTGCTTATGTGATCATTAAAATTAAATTGTTCATCAAAAGTTACTCTAAGATCTTGTATAAGTGAAACACGGCTAAACGGAAAAATGTCACAGCTATAAACAAATAATATGGAATCCCTTTTCTTTGAATATGGCATTATTCTGCATTTAAAAAAATTTAGAGGTAGTTTATTCACTTCGCACCAAGCATGTATTTTATTGGCAATATCATTGATAAAAAGTAAAAATAACAGCGGACCCAGGTTGGATCACTGAGGAACACCTGATGTCGATTAATGGGAATGAGATTTGAATTCATTATAGATCACATACTGACATCTGCTGGTTAAGTAGGATATAAAAAATTTACTAGTGAATTTTTTGGCCCATGTAGATAACATCCACTTGTCCCTGATCATGAAGGACATCAGTACTGTGCAAAACAAGTAATGTTAGAAGCAGTAGAACGTTACTCCATGAATCCGTGTTGAAAATTGGAAATATAGTGACGACAAGAAGTATGTACATATGTAGGAGTAAAAAATCATTTCGAAAACTTTCAAAAAATTGGGTAAGACAGAAATTGGTCTATAATTACTTAATTAGTAACAAAGATGCATCACTGCACTTTTTAGAACAGAGTAGAATAAATAAACAAGAGCAGTCTTTAACAAAAAAATTAGGTACCTATCTGATCGTAACCAGCGGTAATTTATTTTTCCACTTGTTGATGTCATTTTCATACTCAGATATATTTATTACATTTACATTAACAAAGGATGCTATATCAATATGAGAGGTAAAAATACTACTTAAGGAATTGGTTAACTATTGACTCCGGGGTAGAATATGTGTTACATCATTGTACATTGCAGCTGGAATTCTAATTACATTTTGTTGTCATTAACATATTTCCAAAAATATTTTGGTTCAATAGTTAACTTTGCCTGAACTGTACCTAAGTTGTATGCGAGAGATACTGAACTTGAGATTTTGTTAAAGACCGTAAATGTTTAAATTTATTGACCTGATGTGCTACATTACTGTTTTTGTTAATTGTTGCAGGCGCGGATACAGGATTTCGTTGGGGGGGGGGGGGTCAATTTTTGTGCTATCTCCCAGAAATTCGTTCTAAACAAAAAAATTTATCAAATTTTAGCTAGTATATTCTTTTTTACATAACATGGGTGACATCGTTTGGTTGTTTTCGTTACACGTATAGTATACAGTAGAACCTCGATAATCCAAATTAATTGGCAAAAAGGTGTGTTCGGATCAGCGATTTTCCAAAAAATCTGAAAGGGAATTGAATAACAACTTCATACGCAGTTAAAATAAATTTCAAGAAATAAACCTTAATTTTATTAAACAAAATTAAAGAATTCTTAAGCAACAATGGATAATAGATACATTCTAAAAAAAAATTACTCTGTGACCATAAACACGCTACCTTTTTGGAATCAACACGTCGGAATCTATACCCTGAATTTTTTCAGAATTTTTAGATGAATTTTTCAAAAATGATATTTTCCGTTATGTATTACCAACATTATGCAAATTTCGACCCATTCTCGACAATTTTCGAAATTTAACTAAATACATTTTCTTGTAGATTTTGGGCCTCAGAAGTCACTTCTGGCTTCATTTCTTCCATAACTTAAACCATTTTTCCAGATTCGTCCAGTTGAAATATCGCATTTTTTAAAAATTTCAAAATATTCTATACAACATATGCAGAAAGATTTTGCATCATTTTTGCAAGTAGGTGCGTATTTCCAAGTTCAGTTCGGATTGCAGAGTTTTTGTTCGGATTAAAGAAGCATCGACTTCAAATAGCCTCTGTTCGGATTACTGGATGTTCGGATAATCGTGATTTCGGATTATAGAGGTCGGACTGTATTTACAAAATGAAATGCGATTTCAAAATTTTGAAATTGGTCAAAATAAAGTACCTCGGTCGTGTGTCAGGGGATCCACGCCTGAACTGTTGTAAATAATGTATGCTTTAATTTCATATTGAAAATTATTTTAGCGCTATATAGACGAAGTACCACCATTTGTGGTACCAAAATTTTTCAAAAATATACCTTGTAGCTGCGCCCAAATAGTGTACTATGAAAATAACACATTTCCGTTTTACAATTACAGAGATAAATTTCCGGTTCTTACTTTCCCTGTGTAGTTTTTCTGTTTTTCCTAGAAGTTGCAAAATACGTAGATACTATTTGCTAGGAAGTTATTTAAATGCAATAGATAGTCAATGTTACGCAGTGTGTTCGTTGTTTAAAATCTGTAATAAAGTATAGCAAAGTAAAAACAATATTACTACGAAATTTACAAAGTAAGTGATCAAACAAAGTTAAATTCCTAAACCAAAATATCGCTTTCATAATTCTCGTAAAAGACATCGAACTCGAATCTAAACAGGAATACTGTCCTGTCCAAATTACCATGACCTTCGATGATATTTCGTCCATATAAATTGGTTAGCTACGTCAATGAAACATTCTTAAAATCGTTAAACAGGCATAAATATCCGATAAGGTCGAAAAAAAAGTTTATTAGGTATTACACTGAGAGATGGCCACACCTAGGACTGCTATCACGGAAGACATGATTACATGGTGTACCTATATGACAAACCAATTGAAGTTAATTTATGACAGAGTAAACATTTATTTTCATTTTATAGAATGTAAATTAAAGTATGACAACATAACTGCTGTAAAAATATTATCAATACATCTCTATATCTATTGCATATATAAAATTTGTAAATAAGCGTTACGCTACAAAATATAAGTAGTATCAAAAACGTTTTGTTAGCTAATTTTCACATCTCTTCCTCAGCCTCAACCAAATTCCATTTTTTGCTTTTAAAGTTATCCTATAAGAAAAATTTAGTTTTTCGTGTCCAGGAGCCAGTGTTAAATGATATTTTGTTAATATTTGTGATATGACTGTTTTCAGTTCTATTAGGGCAAACTTGTAACCTGAAAATGAATACCCATATAGTTTAAATATAACAGTAAGTATTTATGAGTTAAGCATCAAAATGAATACCGGTCCCCTCGTGATAGCAAAATTTCCTGAAACAGTAGTAAACACCCACCAATACAATTTCTCGGTCCTGCACTGAACGGAATATATGCATAAGGATGAATCTGCGACTTGTTTTCTGTTGAGAATCGATCAGGATTAAATTTTAATGGATCTGGAAAAACGTGTGGCAAGCGATGCGTGGCAAAAGGCGCTACTAAAACATTGGCTCCTGCGGGTAACACATATTTTCCTGCAAATTATGTAACAAAAATATTTTTTGCGACAACAGTAGTTATATACCTAGAGACAAATCTTCAGTTAGTACTCTGGCAATAATTGGTACGCTTGGACACAGTCTCAGTGTTTCTTTAATACACTGTTCTAGATACTTCATTTCACCTACATCTTCAAATGTTATTGGACGATTAGCACCCTTGAGTATACTTTTTAATTCATCCATTACTCGGTCTTGAACGTCTTGGTGCAGAGCAAGAAAGTAAAGAGAAAACGTTAATGCAGCTCCAATGGAATCTTGACCCTAGAAATGATTTGACTGTAGATTTATTATTACTTTAACAATATAATCTATTTACAGCCAACATGAAGGTACACGCTTCGTTAATAATATCTTCTTCCGTAAATTCTTCATTTTCTTTAGAAATTTCTATCATCATTTCCATTAGATTATTAACAGAAAAGTTACTGCACCCAAAAGAGTTCTTCTTATTTTCTAAAATCTAACTATTAACGTGTAAAACTACAGACATAAATTTCCGGTTATTACTTTCCTTGTGTAGTTTCTTAACAGAACTTGGTGTTCGGCTTCTTGCTTTGAAAATTCTGTTCTTTTAAAAAGAGTTTGCAAAAGTAGCCACGGTCTCGTTATGCGATATGGCATAAAAAGTTTACCCCTACAAAAAATTATATGTATTTTTTTCGTTACTATAGTCGTAATTACTTTCTGTATGGAGATTGATCGGTCCTTGCAGGAAGTCCTAGTATAGTATCTGAAAAATATCTTCATATACGTTTTTGTATATAATTAATATTTATTCTGTATTTATAATACCTTGTAAAACATCTAAAACAAATCTGTTTGCAAATTTTACCACGTTGACATCAGTCTCTTGTTCCAAATCTGCCACCATGACTGTGGAATATTTAAAGAAAGCATCGAAATAGACTTTTAGAACATTAATATGAAAATACGGCTGAATTAGTTTTCGATGTAATTTCCATTTTTCTCCTAAAGACAATGTCTTGATTAAGTCACTTTTCTTTGTCCTTGTTCTCACCTGTATTGGTTATTAGACCATCTCCAATAAAGTTATGTAAAAGTGAATACAACATGTTTTTAGTTGAATATTTGTTACTGCCAAGAACAATTTGCAAATGTTTGGGTTCATACACCAGAAAAAATGGAATCATGGATATCCAAATTCTCATAACGGGAGAGTATAATTCAGGCATTTTTATAGCGATAGCTTCCATTTCTAAACATAACACCACAGGACACAATATACATTTATATCTGCTTTGCATTAATCAGTGAATGTCTTTAACCATGTTATCTGTCGCAAAATTATAGTCTGATAAACTTACTTTTACTATTTGTAACAAGCAGAACATTGCCTAGTAAAGGAAGAATCGGTGGTCCAGGAAGTCTAAGTGCCAAGTACACAGCTTTGAAATAGTTTTTGAAATACAGTAGAATTATCATTATTGTTATTACCAGTAAGTTACTAAATGAATCACTCCAAAACATTTTTTCTGAAAAAAAGAAATAAACAAGAATTACAATAATACAATGTCATTTTTTATTTTATGCGTATTTTGCATAAATATAAAAGTGTTTCGGAGAAAAATAAAGAACTAATTTCAAAAAACTAATTTACCTACAATAAGCAGACTGCATCTTATAAATATTAACAATTGTAAGATTTGTCTGCTACGGATGTGTCGGTTTTTCTGAGAGTTTTTCATGAATATGTTTTTAATGACAGACGCTTGATATAAACAAACCTTATAAACACGCCATAACGTAATTCTGCTTCATAAACTGGAAAATTATTTCTCTCGCTTCCAAAGCACAAAAAGCATGTCAACGTATTTTCAGCAGAAAAAATGTTTAACATTTGTTTCATACACTTTCTAGTGGGGATAAAATAAATACAACATTAATTCGGATATATCCAAAATCAATAATTTTAACATTTCTAAGAAAATCAGTAAAACAAATAAAATAAGTAAATTTGAGAAGTCGTCTATAATTAGTTCTAAAAAATAAATACAAGATTTTTTAATAAACATTCATAGTTTGTTTGCAGTGACATAATCAACTCAAGAAAGAGGTAAATAAATATTTTATTTGTTGCATAAGAATCCCTAGATGGTTGTTTTATCGTAATAAAATGTCATCGGAAAAAATTAAAAATAGAAGTGAATTATAAATCATAAGCATAAAAGGTATTTCCCATACACATTTTCAATGAGATTAATTTAATAAAATTTTAAAATGATATTGTCGGTTTATTTCGGTGTGAATAGATCAACTTTGATAGGCATTTTATTGTATGGACATTCTAGATCATAAAGTTAAAGTACGATTAGAACTATAAAGTATACAGACAGATGGAAAAGGAAGACCTACGTTTTTTTTTCTACGAACTGTGAAACACCAAAAAAGATACATATTCGTCAAAATGATACCATATAACAGTACTTCCGTATGAAACACTTAGGAAGCAAATAAAGCATAAAGTGACATAAATGAACTTTCTTTCATTCACAGTTTATAACCTACGTGGTGATTACATTGTGTTCATTATACAATTTTTTATAATTGATTTAGGCAAAATTTGTCTTTTCTTGTTTCTTGTTTCATGTAACTGAAATGTAAACATAAATAAAAAATATATCACACAAATTAAAAGTTTAAGGATCAGTTAACAAATAATGGATTACTTAGACGACGCGACATATGGAACACAATAACAACTGTTCATGAACAACAATTTGTAAATGTCAGCACTTCGTATTGACTGGAGCACGTTTCTCGTTAATGCGTATGCCATTATAGAAGTAAAACGTAAAAATAAATCTACACAAATCAAATAATAATGCCTACATTCACTCATCAGATCTCCGTGTTACATCATTTCTGCTGTCATTAGCTGGTGCAATTTCTGCATCGCGAAAGAAAATGTTTAATATCAACTGCATGAATAAATTAAAAATCCATTAAGTATGAGGAAATGACGCGAAGACAGGACTGTTGATTTTAAAAAATCAAACATTTACTAGTAAATATTGAAAAATATATTTCATTTTACATACACGGACTATCAATTTATGTTCTAAAATTGGATATCGTGCACGATCTCGGATTGGCACAAAAAAATTTTAAAAAAGTTTATCTTAATAATAACAAAAGCAATATTTACTTTATATCTAATTGTAGTTATTTTGTGGAAACATAATTGCTAGTACAAATTACAAAATTCCAGTTTACCTTACCTAACGTTTCTGCGTCCAGATAATAATATATTCGTTATATCTTTAATTCATAACACCGAATCGTTAAATATATTCTTAAATAATTAGAAAAGCGTTAAGTAAAATCGAAAACGCACTCGCCACTAACTTCGAGTAGAAATTGATACTAACTGTACAGTACAAGAAAGACTCTTTTACGCAGAGGTAATAGAAATTACGAGTAATACTGCAATTACCATAGTGTTTTGTAGTTTTGTCAGCGATCGCTTTTAAACGTGAGTTGCACAAATCTTTGGAAGGTGTTCAAAACAAGGACAATATCGCTTCCTGGTTGAAACAGTCTTCGGACACTCAAAAATAGCCATGCACGAAAAATATTAGATAAAATGGATAAAAATTAAAATCGTAATTAAGACTATAGTTATTTAAAATAAATAGTTTCTACATTAAATTTATCTGAGTTTCACCTACCTATAATAACTGCCTTTTAAATATTTAAATACTCGTCAAAGAGATTCATTCTTAAAATCACTTATACCACTGATAATTTACTGGGTAGATATTTGGACCTTACTCTTATGTCAGTCAAAAATTATTACCTCCTGTATAAAACATTCGAGGTTTAGATTATATAAATAATAATTTTTATTTTTATTAGTACTATATTTTTATTTATTATCTTAATTAACGTATTAATATTTGAAGGTAAAAAAAATAGGTACACAATATTATTTATATATTATTTATATATATATTTTTTTTATTAAAGAATCTGCACGTGCAGTGATTCCCAGATTAATTCTTCATCTCTTATGAAATAACCACTTTAAAAGTAAAATCAGATGAACACAGTCTGCATCCAATTATAAAAAAAATAATTATTTTTCGCAATAACATTTTACATTTGTATTTTGTACAAAATTCAATATATCTAACCAAAAAAAATATGAATTATTCCATTATTTACCTAACTTTATGAACTACGAACTGGCATCTTAATAAACGATTTTTTGCCTCAGGTTTGTAAGCCGTATAATATTTTGTAATGTTAATTAACACACTCCTGTACTAGTAGTTTATTAATCCACCTTTATTTTTTAACTTTGACGTCTAGATTTCTGTAAAAAAGAATAACATTATTAACAACATGTGGCAATTTAACTTAGAAATCATAAAACCGACTGCTCTGAAATCTTCTGACATGCTGTATACAGAGTGTTCAAAAAATTGCGTACCAAATCTATGACACGTTGATCACGACCCTTAATGAAGGAGAGAAAAAATAATTTAAAAAATTCTTTTGCCCAAATGTTGAAGATCACGATAATTTTCTTTTCGAAATTTCATCACATTTTAATTCACTATTTGGTGCTGGGTACCTGAAATTGGTCACTATTCACAATAATTTTGGAGGTATCTTGTCTTTATCCATCATATTCTTCATTTTAAAATATAACAAGAAGTTTAAAAATTTTGAACACTCGGTATATATTTTCTAAAATGTCCAAAATATTATAGGTCTTTTGAATTATCGATGAAAATAGTAAAGTTGTAGAAGATTTTTAAATTGCCACTGAAATTTTTAACAAGTATGTGTTTTAAATAGAAACTAATAACGTAAATATATAAACTGATAGAGATGTGCCGACTGCAGTCGGCCGACTAGTCGGCTTTGTCAAAACCGGTTAAAATTAGTTTAATCGACCGAAAATTGGTGTCAAAGTGTAGATAATCTTCCGCTAGTTACGATTCTGAAATCGCCGTCACGATATATGGTCCAATAAACACGCAAAGCGCATTTAAAATTTCCAAAAATTTTCCAAAAAAGTGGTTAAAATTGGTTAAGTATTGTATAAACTGCCCTAAATTGTGTTATTCTTTATTTTTGTACTGAGTTACTACAAAAAATTAAATGTTAAAATTATCCAAAAAAATTTAACACATTTTTTGGAAAAAAAAGAAACTTCAGTTATTCCTTTTATTAAAATAAAACAAGTTTTTAAGGTAGTCAGAGAAATAGAAAAAAAAAACACTGTCTGTTGCATTTATAAACAGTCGGCCGACTGTAGTCGGTAGATCTCTATAAACTGATGATTAAAAAATATCCGAACGGCTACTTTCATGTTTTCTCGCCGTTTCATAGTCACTAGAGTATGAAAAAATATATCTCTTGTCTGTCTCCTGTCTGTATGTCTGTTTTCTGAAACTACCGGATTAAGTGATATCAAATTTTAAATGCATTTTAGGAAATGAACATTATTTTAAGAAATAGAGGCTATTAATCAAACTGTATTTTTTCTGCCAAAAAATTAATATTGAAACTTTATTCAAAAACATATTAAAAAAGAAAAACTCAAAGTTCATCATCACGCAAAGGGAATAAACATTAAATTTAAAAAATAATAAAAATAATAGAGTAGTTATTACCTTTATTAAATTGTGACATAGTTAACTCAACACTTTTATCAACTCTATCGCAAGACCACACTACCCGAACAACGAACCACAATTTTGTTGTAACACAAATTTACACCTCCACTCTTTAAAGAACAGCGTGAAGTTTAAAATCCACGGTGCTAATTAAGAGAATTGGATCTTTTAAATCACAATATAGACATATACCAGGTAGGCACAATAAATTTTTCCAGTCGCATGTTAAAATAAAAGCAAAGTTATGTAAACCTCTAACCAATAAAAAAAACTCACCAGGAAATAAATAATCTAATTTTATGCCTACGAACTTTTCTATTCTCTTTTTAAAGGCACAAATCGATCGTAAAATTTTTGTACCACTCCCGGTATACAAAATTTCAAAATTAGCAATTATAATGAGGGTCACAGTGTATATGAGAAAACTCTAATTAATTTCAAGGATTACTTTATGGTCAAGGGCTTGTAATTAAGATAGTGAGATATATATACGCGTTTATGCAAATTTATACAGACTTTTTTAAAGAGATGTGTTTCCGGTGATACATAATTCGGTATAATACTGTCAGCGAAGGTAAAAAAATTGCAATCAAAAATCTGTGTCAGAGTGTTACAATTTTTAGCAATAACTCGTATAAACACACCTGTATGAACATAACGTGATACAAAAGGATGATTTTTACTTAAACGTTATTTCCAGAACTTTTATTAGGAAAACTCTTGGCGACTAAGTACTCCTTTAAAGATAATAACTCATTGTAGTATTCAAATTTCATATCTCTTTTTTACAGCAACTTATCGCAAGAGTACCTTATACATATTTTTCAGGTATTACTTTAGAGATATAAATATCCAATTCGCAGACACCACAGCAAACAAAAACAGGTGATAATAAAATAATATTTACGATGCTCTAAGTGCGTACATTTTGACAACAAAGAAAAGAAAACAAATATATTAACGTTTCATTCATATATATTATATTTCTTTGCTACCTACTGCAAAAAAATCATGAAAATAATTTGAATAAAGAAAAACATTATAAATTGTACTGCACTTTAGTTTCGGAAAATTCTGAATTTGATCAGTTTTTCTATTATTATGGTAATGAGTTAATCGTTATTTTACAGTAAATATTTAGATGACTTCAGAATAAATAAACTTAAAATCGTAAGGATTTAAAATTTTTAACAGTAACGTCTACTATCTTTCTTATACATCATTTTATCGTAATTCTTATAACCCATCATTGATCCTGAGAAGTAATCCCACACAATATTCATTGTGCACCTGAAACAAAGCAAAGTAGAAACATTGTTAAAGTTTGAGTAAATGTACGATTTGCAAGACGTCGTAAAGGTTATTCACGAAAAGCTCCTCGCCTAAAAATAATTAATACACACCCAACGATACAAATGCATAATATTTTCTACATTAATTCTGCTGCTGAGCAGTCCCTTTGCGTATGTTTTGTTCTTTGCTTTGTGCTCTAATAATAATTCAAACATCCCTCCAAACTTAGACACCAAAGCAAAATTCAAAATTTGGTGATCGTCAGCATTATGTGTTTTTTGTTTGTTGACCCGAATGCATTCAAATGTAAAGTGATGGACCCCAAGGTTGGAAAAGTGTCCTTAAATCAAAATGCGCAATATGGAGGGAAAATTGTCACAAATTCATGTCACATGAGAAAAAGAAAAATCGTCATTACAGTAATTACATGCAAAAGCACAAATTACCACGATGGTGTCAACTTTAAATATGAATAGTCGAGCAAAAACAAACCACGTAGCGGTAGCGACTCGAAGGGCGTCTTCTCTTGAAGGTCAATTTGCTCTAAACGCAGCCACAATAGGCACTATGCGTTTTAAACACTCGCATTTCTGACACTTACAACTAAATAGCTTGATTTACTATGGTTGAAATCCGGTTTTGTAAATAACGGTGTGGTCCCGTGCATTTATTTCGGTTATTAAAGTTAAAAACTCCTGCAAAAAAAAAACGGCAAACCTTAATTATGCCACACTTTCAAGAATTCAAACAACAAAAAATTTATTTCCATGTTGTTTATGTATAAATTCAAGTTATTATTTACTCCAAGTTTTAACTCAGGAAGTTTAGATAGTGAACTGCCCCCCATTACAATTAAAACAAAGTACTTTCAAAATAAACACAACAGTAACATAGAATGCATTAAAAATAAAAAAAAACGTAATAAACCGTTCCCGATTTAATGAATACAATAAATTGACTCATTCATTAATGTTTATGAGTCACCCTGTATAAGAAATTGAAAAACTTTTAATGCAATAATAAATCACAAGTGTAGTCTTATCTATTATATTTTGCACAAATTGAATAAGATTCGGCAAAATTTTGAAATGACGTCGTCAATTTGAGGGGGGGGGGGGTAAAATGAATTTTGATTAACGATTTACCATGATTACGATAACCTTAAAATATTTACAAAATTTCAGAGCAATCGGTTTTGCAGTTTCAAAGTTATATTGCAAAATATTGTTATTCAGTTTTGAAAAAAAATTCTGGATGTCTAAATTTAAAAAAAAACTTGATTGTAAATTTTGAAGATGACGTCATCTCATTGGTGGTGGGGATAATTAACCACATTTTAGTTGGCAAATTCAACTTATCGAACACAAATAAGATCAAAAAACCAAGGACAAATTAAACTCTTCATTCCTCGGTTCACGATGTTATTTATTTGATTCATAAAAATTTTCAAAGTACTTTCTCTCAAAAGGGATCAACGTTTTAAAATTAATTGATTTGCCATAAATGAACGAAACGTTGTAAATTTCAAGAGAGAAGTTTATGTGTGGATCATGTAATAACTTAAGTAAAAAAATTGGTCGAAGGTTATTTAGACACAACTTCCCTCGCCTGTGAAGTACAGTACAAGAAATCCAGAATTTTCGAAAAATTACTTAAGATTCGATTTAAGAAATTTTAATTTTTGATGATAATCCTTATAATTATAAGTTAAAATAAAAATATGTATGTAATGCTAAAGTAAAGGTGAGAATGGTCACTTTTATATTTTCTCGACGTTTCATGACCCCTAGAGTACGAAAAAACTTTCCATCTATCTGTCTTCGTCTGCCTGTGTCGTTTTTTATTAGACAAATAGTATCCGAAGCTACTAGACCTATTGTTGTCACATTTTATATGTATATTATTGTAGATGGTAAAACGCTTACTAATTTTGACTAAACATCTCCGCCACCAATGGGATGACGTCATCTCCAAAATTTACAATACCATTTTTTTTAATTTTATAAAATAAGACATCCAGATTTTTGGAAAAAATCAAAGTTATATAACATCTTGCCATTTAACTTTGAAACTATATAAAACCGAATTGTCTGAAATCTTGTAAACGTTTTAAGGTTATCGTAGCCACGGTAAATCGTTAATCAAAATTTATACGTTTGTCCCCTCTTAAACAATTAATGACATCATTTTAAAACTTTGCGGAATAAATCCTGTCTGAAACATGCAAAATATTATGATTCTGTACTTCTGGTTTATTAAACGCACTCATAGTTTTTAGAGTTACTTAAAAAAACTAATGAATGATACAAATTATTGTACTGATTAATAAATCAACAAAGACTCAATCCATATTCCCAAAAATTTGGATTGCGTCCATCCAAATTGATATACGTCTCCTTGTAAAAATATTGAAGAAAACGTTTGGCATTCTTCTTTACCATACATTATCTCGATTTTAACTTATAAGGGTTATTATAAAAAATAGAATTCGCAAATTCAGCTATTATAATGTTTCGAAAACTCTGGATTTTTTTGGATGTAGTTTGGACCAATTTAAACAAAACAATTACCCGTCTATGAAATTCCAAAGGACATTCCACAAACCAAAATTTAACACATGTTTCAACTAGCACTGGCCACTGGCACACAAGAAATGACCAAGAGACCATTGAAAATCTTCCTGAGCACATTACAAGCGTCATGCAATCCCCTTGACCCTACGAAGACGAGAATGACATTCCTCTGTACATGATTGGCTACGTTCTTGACTATTTTTTTAATTTTTAATTTTCCGAATCCGGTTTCGGAGCGTTGTTTGTTTTTCTCTAAGCGCGAAATTTCAATTTCAATTTCAGGAAACCACCGTTTTTACTTCATTGGTTTAAAAGTTGTACATGCTTATTTCTCAATCACTAGGCCACTTAGTTTTCAGAATAATCGATAAAATACAGTACAAAAAAATTATATTGCATATATTTTATATTAAGGTGTAATTTTCAATTCAATTTTTCCCATTATTTTTAACATGATGACTACCTTTGTGGATGGGGTGTATACATAAATAAAATGTTGTGTGATTTTTTAAATTTCTGCTTTAGTTGGTTATGACCAGAGACTTTAAATGGTCATAAATAATAATAAAATAAAAATAAAAACATATTTAAAGTCTCTGGTTATGACACATGACACCTACGCTAGCAGTGCAACTAGAGCAGAAATTTTAAAAAATCATCCGATAGAATTAATATTTTATTAAAATTTCGAAAAAAAAATCAGTCTACGGTTTGTTTTAGATAGACTAGCTAAAATTAAATGTATCAAAATTTTATGATTTGGTGCAGCCTGTTTATTATGCAAACAGACCGACGAAATATTAATATAGATAAAGAGTATATTGTGTTGCATATCTGAAGAAAGTTTGACGATATTTTAAAATGACGTCATCTATCTTTTGGGCGTAATATTTGAATCAATTTTACCCAAGGTTAAAGTAACAAAACGTCAGTTTATCTACATGTTAAATATTATTATATTTTCTGAGATTATTATCCGTCTGATAAATTGCCAATAAACAAACAAAGATGGAAAAGTAGCATTTTTGTGCTCAAGTACCCTAATACATGCAATATCTGCTTCTCTATTCTTCAAAAAAATAAAAACCAAAAAAATGAAATGTTACAAAAATAACTAGTAACCGGCAAAAGAAAAAATGTGTTGTAGATTATGAAGCCAATAATACACCTAGATTCGAAAAAATGTTGCCGATGTCTGCCCCTGTGATTGCCTTGCGCAGTTCTTGAACCGTCAGGGAGGTGCGGTTTATTCCCGATGATTGTGTTTGGTTTATGATAACGAGCAAAAACTGTCATTTATAATATTTGAAGGCGTGGTTTTTATTTAATTCTTTAAGCCAAATTAGTAACTAATTTCTAAATTCGTCGTTAGATTTTTTATTAAATAATTAGCAACATGACCGGGAGGTTACCAGCCTGTGTTATCGACGTCGGTACAGGGTAAATTCGCACATAACCAAACTTTCCTCCCGCATTAATCATTTCCTCATTTTCAGTTACACTAAGCTAGGATTCGCAAATAACAAAGAACCACAGTTCATTATACCTTCCGCTATAGCAATAAAAGAAACAGCCAAAGTCGGCGATCAATCCAGTCGAAGACTCTGTAAGGGAGTTGAAGACTTAGATTTTTTTATAGGTGATGAGGCTTTCGACGCCACCGGATATGCGGTCAAAGTAAGTGTGAGTTTTTCTAAATGGGCGCCGGTTTTTATTCGCCGTTTTAGTATCCGGTACGCCATGGGTTGGTCGAAGATTGGGACTTGATGGAACGATTTTTAGAGCAATGTATTTTTAAATATTTGCGAGCAGAACCAGAAGATCACTACTTTTTGTTAACTGAGCCGCCATTAAACACTCCAGAAAATAGAGAATATACTGCAGAAATTATGTTCGAGTCTTTCAACGTACCTGGGCTGTACATAGCTGTACAAGCTGTTCTAGCTTTAGCTGCTAGTTGGGTAGGACGTAGTATTGAAGAAAGAACCCTAACTGGTATTGTCATTGATAGTGGAGATGGTGTGACACACGTTATTCCTGTCGTAAGTAAAAACACCCTTAGCATTAAATTTTATTTTCAAGCGTCTATCGTAAAAAATTTCAATTTGTAAAATTCTAAAAATTTTGCACAATATTGTTAACTTCATGTGAGTGTTCATTTGAAAAAGTCATCTAGTTGGCGCTGTTTTTATAGATGAAAATGTAGCGAAAAACGCATGTGTTTTATTAATTCATACTATTGGATATAATTGACATTTGACAGTGGTTGAAAAGCATTAATTTTATTTTACGAAAAAAGTGAGGTTAAATTGAACTACTCTGCCGTGAAATTCGTTTTGTCAACTGTCATCGATTAAAGACATGCTTCACAATTTTTACAAAAAATCAAGGCCAACTTGATAACTTCAATTGAGCGTCTGATACTTCTTTCTGTTAAGTTAATGTCTTGTCACCCAGTTTGATGACATGTTAACCATATTAATTAAAACTTTAAAAACTGGCCACCATCACAAAGAAGTGTCAAATTTGTTAGATTTAATAATTAATTTCACAGGTCACTGGATGTAAGAAACATTTATAAAAACCCCATGTTATATTTATTGCATTTGTAAGAATTAAATTTTTAAGCTTGTAAAATTTTCAACAGACTCTTCAACATAGGGTCCAATTTTTGTTGACTTGCGTCTAAAATCTGGTTACGATTTAGTGCAGTATTCATGATTTCTGTTGTAAAAGCCAACTTGTAAACAAACAACAGATTTGTTTTTTTTTTATGAAAATTAGATTCGAGACAGGACTGTGTAAATAGGGGTCGACAGTTCAAACATAATACGCAGTCTGTGTTTATTTTAGGTTTGTGCTTTATGCTAATGTGTTTAACTTAATTGTCTGGTGCAACGTTGCCACATTTTTTGTGTGGAAGTACAGTGTTGGATACAAAACGCAAAATTTCTATTCATTTGTACACCATAGCATTAAAAAAAAAGAAAATTACACCTTAAATGCAGAAAACTAGTTGGAAAAAAACTGAAGTTGAGATGACAAACTTGTTTCAAAGCCCAATTTATTTACAAATATCTTTTACGTGAATTAGATACAATGTGGCTTAAAAAAAACTTGGCTGTCAACCCGTTTTGAAGTTAAAACCCAATGCAAGTTTTAAAACCTTTTTTTTCTGTCGTGTAATACGTATCAGCTAACATGTTTTCATTTTTACATAAAAATTGTTACAATAAATTTAATGGAGGCATTTCGCCCTCATTTTATTAATAAAAAAAAACCCGCATGCGTGCAATATAAAGTGAAAACTAATTTTACAGTTATCACAGCGTAAAGAACTACTTAACCATTGTTTTCTTTTGTATAGAAATCTCAAATAAAGATGTTCAGGGTTTGAATCTTAACAATTATTTTAATTAATCTGTAGTCATAAATTACAAAAATAAAACAATTTATTATTCTAATTATGGTACGGAATTGAATCAAGGTACAGTAGAAAGTCGATCATTGCTTTCAAATCCGCATGGTAATTTAATGGATTTTATTATTTAGTCTAGACTCAGGACAAAACTTACGAAACTAACCCTTGAGGAGTCAGTCTAATACCCAGTCTAGGTTCTTATTGGATTTGTAAGGAGGAGAATTTATGCGTGAAACCTTTGGTATTTATACCTGTTTTTGACAGGCGTGTGCACCCTTCGTAAATATTCTAAAAGATGGCGCGCGATTTGACAACTAAATAACGACAACGATGTCATTAGAATGTCAATCACAGCCAGCAATTTAGGGATATTCTGTGTGACAGGTAAAAATGAAAGTGATAGTTTGACAAATCAAAGTGTCTCCACTATATCTTTATTACATTATGATTTGTAAATATGTAGTAATGATAATTATCAACAATGCAAGAATTTAGCGTTCCCATTTTCTATACAAATAATTGTTAACACAGCAAGCAAAACAAAACGTAAAAGTCTTGGCGACAAATGTCAAAAGTCAAGGTTGCGTTCTGTCTCGACTTAAATTGAGTAACATTTTTCCCATACAGACGGCAAAAGTATGTGTTACTTCTCTCATTGAGATGATTAAGTCAGGTGGGGGGTTGTGTATTTATGAATGAATGTATAAAGCTTTGGTATACTTGTATTTGACAAGGTGTGCGACTGTGGTAAATATTTTAAAAGATGGCGCCCGACTTGACAGCTAAATAAGTCCATAATGTTATGTCAATCCCTTCCAACACTTTCTGTGTAACAAGCAGTAAAATGTATTGACAGTTTGAAATGTTATTGGCTACTTTCGTGAATCAAAAAAATTATATAGCGTGACTTCGTTTATTTATCCACGTCTCATGACCTCTAGCGTACGAAAAAGTGGTCTCCAGTTTCCGTCCGTACGTCTATCTGTCGTCTGTATCAATTTTAATTAGACACATAATCTCGAAAATTAATGGACCGATTGTTGTCAAATTTTATTTGTATATTAACACTATCATGTAGATCATAAGAAAACGCCAACCAAAAATTGGCTAGTCATCCCACCAACAATTTGATGACGTCACCCCCAAAATTTGTAATAGTAAATTGTGGTGTATGAATCCGTGTTTAGTTTTCACCCTACACTCCAGATTTTTGAAATTTTGTAAACGTTTTATTGTACTTGTCTTTATTTTAATTTATAATCTATAATATAATAAAAAAAATTGGTGAAAGGTTATTTCAATAGAACTTCCCTCGCCCCTGAAGTGCACGTAAATAACGTCCCCGCAGCTTATTTGACTTGAATTTTTTCTTTAATGTTTCTTCTTTTCTTTTGTTCCTTCATTTTTTCGAGTTTTGAAGTTTAAATTTATTTTTAAATTTATTTTTAAATTTTTCAACTTTTCAATTCAATTTCTAGATTTTGCAATTTTTCGATTTAAGTTTCTCGAGTTTTTTATTTTTTTTACAATTTTTCAATGTTCCGATTTTATAATGTTTTGTTTTTTAAATTTCACTTTTTTCAATTTTTCGTTTCGTCAGTTCTTCAATTTACAATTTTTAAATTTTCCAGTTTTTGGATTTTCCAACTTTTGGACGTTTCAATTTTTAGATTTTGCAATTTTTTATTTCTTCAGTTTTTCGAAAATGTCTAGTTATTCTACGTGACTTACATTAGGGGTACAGTCCAAAATTATTGAATTATTGACTTTATGTTTTTTATTATAATATCTCTTGTTCTTTGCAGCAAAAAATTGTTGAAAGAAAACTATGTATATTAAGAAAAAAAAAGAAAGATTAAGCCCCACCCACCTGCCCCGATCTCAATTGTGATGAGTTTTTCATTCCTAATCTGACGAGGGGCGGAGTTTAATTGTAACATATTATTTCTCTAGAAAATTCTACCATTTTGAAAACATATTTCATATGGTAATTTCTTGTAGAGAAATGAGGATTTTGCAACTAAACTCCACCCTTCAGCTCGCAATGAATAAAATATTCATCACAATTGAGAAGGGGTGGGTGGGCGGGGCTTATATTTTGTCCATTTTTTCTTAATACACGAAGTCTTCGTTTCCCAACAAGAAACTGAAAATATGTTTAACTATCCTGTTGTTGAAAGAAAATTCTATATATTAAAAAACAAATAAAAATTAAGCTCCACCCACCCTACCCAATCGGTCCAGCAGTTTCGGAGATTACGTGTCTAATAAAAATGGATACAGACAGACAGACAGATAGACGGAAACCGGAGACTACTTTTTTCGTATTGAAGGAGTCATGAAACGTCGAGAAAACATAAAAGTGGCAATTTGTCCGATGGACAAATTCTATACTTTTTTTATTACTATACTTCCTTAGCTTACGCTCGGGAAGTAAAAATAAAGTGCGCAAAATCAAATCTTATAATTTCTGGAAAATTTTTTATTTTTTTTTGTTTCCTCAATTCTTCAAATTCTTGATTTTTATTTTTCATTTTCTCGATTTTGTCACAATTTTTTGTTTTTTCATTTCCTTTATTTTTTCAGTGTTTCTTTCAGTTTTTATAATTTTCGTTTATTCAATTTTTTAAATGTTCAATCTTTGATTTTCAAATTCCTCGGTTTTGAAAGAAATGTTTCAATTTTTTAATTTTGCTATTTAATGGATTTCCCGATTTTCCGATTTCTTTAATTTTAAATGTTTCGATTTTACAATATGTACAGATTTTGTTTTTTCGATTTTATATTTTTTTAGATTTCCAAATTTCTCAGTTTTTGATCTTTCGATTTTTTTAGATTTTTCAATGTTTGCGTTTTATACTTTTTGATTTTTCAATTTTCCTATTTTTCCAATTTTTCAATTAGAAACGCTGAAAAATCGGAAAAAACTGAAAAATCGGAAAACCGAAAAAACCAAAAATTACAAAATCGAAAAACTGAAACATTGAAAAATTAAAAAGAGAAAAAACGAATCGAATCGAAAAATTGTAAAGTCGAAAACTGTCTACATTGAAAGATCGAATAATTGAAAAATTAAATATCGAGAAATTGGAAAATTTAAAAATTTCTCATTAAAAAAGAAAAAATATATGAAATCAAAATATTGAAAAACCGAACAATCGAAGAAATAAAAAATTAAAAAACCGAAAAATTGAAAACTCCTGAAAATTCAGTTCAAAAATTACAAAATCTAAATATTGAAACATCCAAAAGTTCGAAAATCGAAAGACTGAAAAATTTTAAAATGAAAACTCGAAGAGAGAGAATCGTAAAATTGAAGAAACAAAAAAAGGTAAATAAATTAAAAAACAAAAAATTATAAAATCTAAACATTGAAAAATTGTAAATCGAAAATTTGAAGAAATGAAAAATTTAAAAATAATTAAGAATTGAAAATTAAATAAACAAAAAAATTGTTAATTGTACGTTGACTTTCGATCATCGTACCGTTTCAAACCACTGTTGTTTGGTAAATATCATTTACAACACTTACTGCATGTCAATGAATTAAAATACAATATCAATTAGATCCACATGTTTTCTTTAGAGACCAGTGCCTTATAACAATGTATAACAGTAGTTTTTTTGTACGTAATGAATCAGCCAGCGTGATTTAAGAACAACCTGCCAAAAAACCGGTATTTCAAGAATTCGGGACATTGATCGCGGTACTCTAGTTGTATATTAAAAAATGAACTCGTAAAAATTGCGAAAAATATTGACCCAACTTTCACTTTCACAAGAAGTAACTAACAATTTACTACATTTCTAACCATTTATCAAATAATTTTTGCCCACAGGCCGAAGGCTACGTTATCGGTAGTTGTATCAAACACATTCCTATCGCCGGTCGCAACATCACCTACTTCATCCAATCACTCCTCCGTGAGCGTGAAATCGGCATCCCCCCCGAACAATCGTTAGAAACTGCCAAAGCAATCAAAGAAAGACACTGTTACATCTGCCCCGATATCGCAAAAGAATTCGCCAAATACGACTCAGACCCGGGCAAATGGATGAAGAAATTCGAGGGAATGAACTCGGTCACGAAACAGCCTTTCACCGTCGACGTCGGCTACGAAAGATTCTTGGGACCCGAGATCTTCTTCCATCCTGAATTTTCCAACCCGGATTTCACCATCCCCCTGTCACAGATCGTCGACGATGTCATCCAGAACTGCCCGATCGACGTGCGCAGGCCTATGTACAACAACATCGTGCTCTCTGGGGGTTCCACCATGTTCAAGGATTTCGGCAGGCGGCTGCAGAGAGACATCAAGAAAACGGTTGACGCTAGGTTGAAGCTCAGCGAGACGCTAGGGGGCGGGCGGTTGAAGGTTCGTTGATTGGTTGGTTGCTTTAGGGACTTTGGTTAAGTGAGTTGTTTCAGCCTAAACCGATTGATGTCCAAGTAGTGTCACACCATATGCAACGGTACGCTGTGTGGTTTGGAGGAAGCATGCTGGCGTCAACGGTAATTGGGTACAGTGCGGAGTATGTCTTTACTAAGTTTTGTGGTTTCAGCCTGAATTTTACACAGTTTGCCACACAAAAGCTGCGTACGAGGAGTACGGTCCCAGTATTTGCAGACACAACCCAGTATTCGGAACAATGACATAAATAAATTACTTAAGTTATAAATTTATTATTGTGCATTTTTATTATGAAATTTATAGATAATATTTTAATCAATTTGTGAAATATAATTTTAATTAAAAGATATATTAGTTCTTTTCGTATTTAATTGGGTCGTTTTTTTCAGAAAAATGATAATAAAACCTTGTGTCTTGGGGTACAGGTATGTGATTTTCGAGCAGTCCACGTATATCGACTAAATTTAGCGGTTCCAGGTAACGTCTACAAATGTTGCGTCATAAATATGTTTTTATTAAATGTCACTTGTTAAGTTTGTGGTACAACATTGAATAAAAAGGTTAGAACTAAAAAGAAAAAGAATTCAATTGTCATTGTCACGTACACCGGGTGAAAACTTTTTCGATGCACCTGGTATAACGGAAAATTATCATGGCTCCCAATCTTCCCTATCATGTCCTAAAAAGGCAAATGTCAAATTTTCCTAAATAAATCTTCATTCAAAAATATTTTCCCCTTTTCGTAGTACGGGGGTTGCTTTCCCCTTTTACTTGCGCATTGTTTAAAAACAACGTTTAAATTTTTTCCAGTTTCATTGTTTGACAGTTGGCAATGTAAACCGCTCGCCCAGAGCAAACTTCATGGCATTTGTTGATGCGTCAACTGACAGATTTTTGTTAAAATGTGTAGTTAAAGTTAAAAAGTAAATGATGCAAAATATTAATTATTGTTATAATGTTGTATGATATTATGGAAAATTGTGGAGTAAGTCCAATAGCTAATTAACGTTCTGTAGCGCCTGTAATAAGCTGAATTAAATGCTCCCACCAATGCGCCATTTTTATTGTGTTATTTAAATTTAGTTTAATTTAGCCTATTTCGCTAGAAATGCAAGTAAAATTAAACCGAGGAAACTTAATATACTGGCAGACGATGTAGTAATGGTGCTAACCCTTCCTCTAGTTCCAGTTGCATAAAGATGACAACATAACCCAACCTCACCTTTGTGACCTCACAGTAAACAACATGATTTTTGCAGATTTCCTTCAGTGCTGTTTAAGTTCGGCTTAATTTATTTATTGTGCAGTGAAAGATGAACCCTAATTTAGCCAATAAGGAATCCCAAATCATCGAAATCGAAGATGACGTTATTGACTTGGGTAAACATACAGTTACGTTGTCTTTCACGTTCTTTACGCCCTATTTGTAGATGAAGCTGAAAAAACGCCAGAAGAGGTGATATACGAGTGGGACGCCAAGATTCGAAAGAAACTGTCAGCGTTTGGAGTGGCCGATAACGAACGTGTTTTGGGAGACCTTATGAAGGACTATTTACAGTAAGTAACTAAAACTATACATACCAAACCACATTTTAGTGATTCCTTGTCTCGCCGTGCAGATCTCTTCACGAAATGACCAGAAGTTACGATGATAACGAAACCCTCAAGAACAAAGTGTTCTGCCATATAAATTTCTTATATTCGTACTACGTTGAGTTGCAGTGTTGTACCTCAGATAATTATTTAAGCAACATGGAGGAGATTTTAACGTTATATTGCAATTTGGAGCTGGAAGCTATACGTCCATTAAAAAAGAAAGACTTGACGAAACATAAATACAAAAAACGAATAGTGTCAGTGGCGAAACAAATCATACATGTCTTAACGGTATATTTACTAGAACGACATGACCACATATTGCACGTACTAATAAAAATGAACACCAACAAGGTTTCGGATTCTTGCTCAGAAATGTTGAACATTCTCTACTCGTAAGTTCACGTTTTGTACAATTATTCGCTTTAATCGAAATTATTTAAGGCATTTTCTCACTAAAGTACCTGCATTCAACTTATGTGATGATTCATTCTGTCGAAATTATATCGTTTTCCAAAAGTGGAAAGAAATACGAAAGGTGGAAGACTGGGAAGGTATGGACAAAATTATGTATAAAATGTTTAAAAGGACTCCAGAATCTATCAAAAATAATGAAACGCTGAGGCAGATTTTAATGCCGTCGTGTTCATCAACTGTTGACATTGTGTTAAATTTGTTTCGCTCATTTCGAGCTATATCAAGTGCGTATTTTAAGCACGTGTTAGCGAAAAGAAACAACGAGTTGGACGATCTGGATTTCAATATAGATCTAGGGGAAGATGAACCAACAATAGCCATAGAAGTAAGTCTCGAGTTTATTAAAACTGTTCTCTTAATTGTGTAAATTTCAGGATGAAGATGAGGAAGAAGTTCAGTTTTTAAAAGCTTATTATGAGGTTGAAAGAAATATGACTAATTTATCACACACACACACCTCGGATATCTCAGAAATTGATATATTTAGAAAATGTAAGGAGGAATTTGACGAAGACGATGATGTGCAATTTGTTGGTATCACCATGTTACCTAAACAACCAATCCTTGAGGTTTCTATTACCAGCGAAGACGGTGATTACACGATGAGTAATGTAAGTTATATTGTTTTATCTCTAGAAGCTGTTATTCACTGCGCGTAAATTTAGAATATTTACAGACGATAAAGTCTGATGTATGTTTCATATGAACTTTCAATTCTGCTAAAAAATTAATCACGAATTGATTGCGTTCAAAAAGTAGGTTTTAGTGAGCGTTTTATCAGTCTGGATAATTGAAAAATTAATTCACATCTTAAATTTTAATATACACACATTCGTTGTCAAAATTGGGGGGTTGAAGTTGTTATAAAAACAATAATAACTCATCTTTTTGAAGAAGGTGATAGCCTTCAGAGACAACAGTTACTGTAGGCCAGAAAATTTAAAAAATTTAAAACAAATGACGTTAAACTGATTGGTGTTTTGTTCTGGGTGCAGTTAATAAAGCAGAATTCTGTTGTTTTATTTGCATAAAATTCTTAAAAGAAGCTAATTTAATGTATTCATATTACATTCGAAAATTATGTTTGCGTTATGGTTTTGGTTTGTTGCTCAAGCTTAAATATAGAATCTCTACACAAGTCATTTATAAATATTGTATCAGCATTGGTCTATATTTTCTGACTGTCTTATTTCTGGAAAAAAATACTAATAATTAAAAAAAAAAAACTACACATTTGTCATTTCTTTTTTTTTAGATTTTTCCTGATTTCTTTCGAGACGGATTGTTTTTTTTTCTTCTGTCGGTTCACGTTTTTGATGCTTTTATCGATTCACTCTTTTGTTGCTTCCATTTGCAGCTTGGTTAATTCAAATGTAGATGAATGCTTTTTGCAAGAATGACGGCAGCTCATATATCACTTGTGATTATATCATTTATTATTGCTTTAAACTCAACGCCCTTTAAGTCTGACATGATGTGAAATTGTAATGTACCAAGTAAAATTTCATCTTACAGAATATCCTTCTGAAACTACTTTAGTAATACTGGATACCGAGCCAATTTCAATTGTTCCCATTAACGTATTTTATTTTTGCACTGTTCAGGCTAATTTCATGTTTTCTCGAAGTTTCATAACCGTTTGAGTACCAAAAAGTATGTCTCCCATTACCGTCTGTCATTTCTCCGGAACTACTCGACTGATTGTTGTGAAATATTAGCTGCTTCTAATTCTAGCCAGAATTTGTCTCAACATGCTGCTATACTTGTGGTTTATTAATCCGCCGTTATTTTTAGTTCCCGTTTCCGTCATCTTAAAATTTTGCAAATTAAACCCTGTTTAAATTGTATAAAATCGCTAGTCTTTATTTACGTTAGACGTCCAGAATTTTGGAAAAATAAAAACTAAGCAAAACCTAATGCTCTACAATTTTTAAAATGAAGTAATAAAGAGTTTTCTGTTTTAACGAGTTTAAACCTTTTTTTTTTAGAAACAGTTAATTTTTTACGAGAATAATGTTAATCTATTAATAATTTTGATATGTGCGCAATGATAATAATCATGATAAAAGAGAAGATAAATCAAAATGACATTACAAAAAGCAATATCGCAGAGTATTTTTCCTAAAGGATTTAATAATTTTTATTTACTGAGTGTAAATTAAGGAAGTATTGTAACAGGATTCATCTGACGAATGGGTACTTTCATGTTGTTTCGACGTTTCATGACCCACAGAGTACGAAAAAGTAGATATCGCGTTTCCGTCTGTATGTCGTCTGTGTCGATTTTTATTATTATCTCCGAAACTAGCGGACCATTTGTGATCAAATTTTATATGTATATTACGAATATCCTGCAGATGGTAAAACGCTAACCAAAATTTGGCTAATCATTCTCACCAACAATTTATTGACTTTATCACAAAATCTTGCTTAGTACATGCTATAAGTTTAGTGTTTTTTTTTTTTTTGAGTTGAAATTGTTGCACTGTACTTCAGGAGGTGTAAATAACCTGGACCAATTTTTACTTCCCGAGCGTAGTTAAGGAAGTATTGTAATCGATTCCATTGGATGATTGGCCACTTTCACATTTTCTCGATGTGTCATGACTAGAGAACGGATTTCTGTCGGGCTACGTCACGATTATAGCTGGGGACGCCTAGATCGCCGCGAATTAGTAGCGGGTGATAATCAGTGCATTTAATCGTCACTTATTCCATAAATTAATTCCCATCCCGCACGAGCCGTACTGAGTTTGTCTGTCTGTTTTGTCTGCCATCTGTCCGGATTTTTATTAGTTAGATAATCTCCGAAACCACGGGACCGATTGTTGTCAAATTTTGTATGTTTATAAGAAATTTCACGTAGATAGTAAAACGCTAACCAAAATTTTTCTAATTACTCTCTAACAACGTGATAACATCTCCTCAAAATTGTTCCCACTAAGTAGGGTTTAAATTTTATAAAATAACACTTCTGTATTTGTTCGTTATGAATCCGTCTTCAGATTTTCCCTGAGGCATCCAAATTTTGTCAGAAAAATCGAAATTGTACCTTTTATACCAGTATCCTCTGGATGATTAAATACTAACCAACATTTCGCTGATCATCCCCACCCACAATTTGATGACGTGATTGCAAATAATTCTATGTTTATTTGATTTAACTGTTGTACAACAATATACTCCTATAAGTGTGGTTTACGAATCCGCTTTGAATCTTTCCATATTATCAGTATTACACTGCACGTGTCGGAATTGACATAATGTTGATCCGAAAATTTTTAAATGGGAAACTCACAATACATACATACAAGCCCTTTATCAATACATTCATATTTTTGGAGTTAATTCAGTTCCTATCAAGGGTTGGCGGTAAGGACACTCCAGAGTCCTAGATCCAATATGTATAAACAAGTGTGTTTTCATAACATAATGCGTGAGAATAGTATACAGTGGCGGGGTATGACTGATTAAAGAGTGATCAATGAACAGTGCAAAAATTGCTAAAAAAATATATTGGGTGTAATTAAAAAATAAGAGGGATGTCGTAGATAAACAAAAAAAATTATAGGGTACCAAAACAGAATTACAGGATGTCACTTACCTTCTTAAACGGTTACTCGTACTACTTTATCTATATTTATTTGAATGTATAGAGGTTATCACAAATAAAAATTCGCAAAATCATGTTTTTTAATTTTTCAAAGAAGCGAGGTTTGTTGGATTGTCCTTCGGACCTTCGACCAATTTGTTTTGCATTCATAAAAAATTGACAATCATCAAATAAGCAGAAGAAATCGTAAATAATTGTGTTCGTCGGGCGTCTCCGTTTCCTGTTCTGAGTTTATTGTTTTTTGGAAAAATGCGTTTGTGTCGTTGCAAAATCTAGTCCTCGATAGTAGAGCAGTCGTTAACAATTGACTGTTTTCTTTGATATTTCAAAGTATATGGTTGTTAGTGACGTCTTAATTAGAATTGCTTATACAGAATGACTAAAAGAATGTATGAATGGGGAAATTTATTTTATTGGTTAAGTTAAGAATGGCTCAGCCAATTTTCCAGAAAATTTGGGAATATAGTACTGTTCAAAACTGTAATTCTGAAATCATTGTTGGTGAACCTTAAAAAAAATCTTTTCTATAGTTTTTCAGATAATTACTACAAAATTCGGTTCTACTCTTCAGTTTTTGGATAGCCTGTAAATGTGAAACTAAAATTTATGTATATTGATTGCTAAATCCTAGATAAATAGATATACGTTTCAAATGTGACATAACTCGTTATATTCTATTCATTCGTTTTTTGTAAGAAACTTACTGCAGTTGACCTTTTTCCATTTTCATTACTCCCTAAGCCGACAGACAGAAACGGAAAATTCGCATTTTAATACTTAATGAGCTGTGAAAGAGTAGGAAAATAATTACATAATTAAACATTCCTCAGAGTGACTATTACCATACTTCCGGTAGCTATTGTTCTTTTATTTTATGCTTTTATTCTGAATCTAAACATAAGTGCGGCAGGATTTGCCATTTCAAAAAAAAGTTGTATGCATTTCCGTCAACACAAGACATGTTTTACTGCTACTAGAAGAAGATAGAAATATAATGATTTTTTCGTCGTGCTAATTATATTAAAACTTATATAACTGAGTTTAGTTTAAGAGACAAATAAATGTAAAGTAACTTTTTAACAATTTCTTCTTTGTGTATACTTGTTTCGTTTAAGATATACCTCATAAAATTTTATAATAATATGGGGTCTAAATAATTGTATGAGGTATATCCTAAATGAAACGAGAGTACATAAATACTTCTGTCGACAATAACACTGGACAAAAGGTTGTTTAATATCACACCTACTTATTACTTTTATTATTGCATCAAATTAACATACATAAACTTCCTAAACTCATTTCTATATTTCTCACATCTATAAATTAAATTTTTTGTTACAGACAAGCAATAAACGTCATACGGAAAAGAGCAGAATACCAATTCCAACTCCTCCGTTAGTTTTGAACTCGGTAGGAGAAAAGAACCCCGACTTGGAAAACCTCAACGGCATCACAAGAATTTGTGTTGGATCTCCTAGAACAGTACCAGAGCTAGAATTACCTAAAACAATACCGGAGCGAGAATTACCTAGAACACTACCAGAACTGGAATTACCTAGAACAGTCCCAGAGTTAGACTTGCCTAGAACGGAACCCATCAGGATCGACCGCCCCATTCCGACGAGGTCACCTAGGTTGACACCCGAACTAGAACTGTCGGTGCCAACTCCAGAAATAGAAACTCCTAGAAGCGTAACTCCCGTAGTGTCGCCCCTCACAGTACCTGGAGCGTCAGATTCTTGCCAAACGACGGAAATGGAAATACAATCATCAGAACATCACGACGTCGAAGATCCAGTGTGCACCATCACAGAAGTGACGACTTCTTGTGACTCCACAACAAAACCAAATCAACCTGAAGTGTCCTTTGATTCGAACAATACACAAATATCAAGTCCTTCTAGTCCAGCGAAAGCCATCGATGCGTGCGACGGTGACGATACTCATACCAAACGGACTATAGAAATGAAAAGTGTTGAAGTTCAAGCCGATGGTATAAAAAATTATTTGTATAACGATTACGGACTCACGACGCCACCTTTTGACGTGCAAACGGATGAGCAAGTGTCAAGGCCAGTGGAACCGCGGTTGTATACGAATATCGGCCAAAACCACAAGAAGGACCTCATGGAGAAAGAAAGTGTTTGTGAGAAGAATGTCAGCACGCGAACAATTGAAGTACAGGTGGATGCACCGACTCAGAAAACTTGTCCATACAACGACTATGGGTTGACACCTCCTAATGATCCCCACATAGAAGATCCTGGTACTAGATTACAAGAACCTTTGTATACTAATATAGGGCATAAAGATCTGAGCAGTAGTAAAGATGGGAGTTTTGATGATTCTCCACAAATCAATACGCACAATAGTGAGATTCCGCCAGTGGATGAAGTTGCTCAAGATAGTGTTGAATTAGAGACTGATAGACACGTTGATCGTGACGATATACCTCCAAATACGAGAACGCGAACCGAGATTGAAGCAAATAAGGCAACTATAGATGGTGTAGTGGAGCACGAGTCAGATTTTGATGAGTTTGAAGATCAACTTGATATTTCAGATATGACAAATGCAGATGTAGATTATGATACAGAAGAAATTGATGTAGAATCTTGCCAAGACACCGACAAAGAGAGTCCCTTAGGGCGCGACGAAGGTAGCAACCACGCAGTGTTAAATAACTTTGGCAACGAAGAAAACGTAAATATGGCTGAACAATATAATCCTTTCAAAAAAACGGATCAAATAGATACGGGGCAAAAGTTAATACTAAAATCGGCACCAAATATCGAACCTGTTACTGCAGACTCGGAACTCAAGGAAGTGGGTGAAACTTACAACGGAAACACAATTTTGAAACCTCTGGTTTCTTCAAATAGAACAAACGGGCAAGCTAAGGATAGTACTTCTACGAAAATAATGTACACATCGTCTCAGAGAATTCGGCCGACGTTGGAGGAGTTCTCGAGGTTCGAAAATGCAATACACAACCAATGGAATAAAACGAAAGAAAACCACGATTTCGACGCGATCTTAACAGGCCCGGTTTCGAAAGTTTTACCAGTGAAACAAAATAGTTTATTTAGTTCGCAAGATAAACTAGATCTCTTCAGTCAAGAATCAAATTCTAAAGCAGTGCACTCAAACAGCCGCTCAAATAGTCCAAACGATATGACGTCGCCGGCTTATGAAGCCATCGATGACTTTCGGAACTATTATAGTGATAGTGTTAACGGTCGTGTTCCTCCTCCTCATGATGTTCGCGTTCCTCGCGGTATTCTGAAGAAAACCAAAAGTACCAGAAGGAAGAACTACCGCATCATGTTTCATGAAAGCACTTGTGATAATGAAGAGAGAAAACCGAGAAGTGACGGTGTTTTGGTGCTGAAAAGTGTTCGGATGGACGAAAAGTTAAACATGGAACCTAGAGTGTTGTTAAAGCGTAGACGTAATATAGAAGATGCTATGAAGAAAATGTTGAATAAAACGCCGACGTTGAGGGTAGATTACGACAAGACCACTACTCACATTAACGACAAGGACGTGGTGCGTTGTATTTCACCTCCTACGCTTTCGTTTATTGTCAAGGAACCAAATAGTCACAATCCAGGTAAAGTAAAGTCTTTTAACGATGCTTACTGCAAGAAAGCTTCCTCTAAATGCGAAAAAAACATGTCATCTTGTTGCAACCAATTAGCCGAAGAATTCACTAAGTTAAATTGCAACGTCGTCGAAGACAAAGCGTTGAATTTAACCATCACAGAACTTCCTCGTCCTATTGATCCCGAGTCCGAATTTTCCAATTCCCCGACTTTCTTGCCCAACACGGACCAACTGGTTCAACATTGCCTTGAAGAAGCGACCAGCGAAACCCCAGAAGTCGTCGAAAGAAACTCCTCTTTGCTTTGCGATAATTCAAACTTTTACACGTCAAGCACTTTAGCTGATAACTTAACTCAAAATTTAAGTAACGTAGATCCAGTCAAAACCGATGCAGCTCAATGTAGTATTAAAGATGATAATAATTCAAACTCGGGTGTCAATGTAACAGAAACTGTAGATAATTCTTTATTGCAATTGCCAACGGCCGTTCCAGAGACCTATGATTTTGAAAAAAATTTTAAAAATGAAGTGTTTTCAAAAATCGATTTGCAAAATTTTGACGATTCGGATGGCGAGACAAGACTACCTCTGAAGAAACGGAAGCTTTCGGTTGCCAATAAAAACGAAAGCGTGACTGAAGAACTGAAGAAAGAAGAAATCAGCTATCCGGCGACTCCGATGATCAGCATAGCGGAAGTCGAAGCTTTGCATCCTAGGAAGTTGCAGGCTAACGCTGCACGTCCCTTTAAAACTCCCGCCGAAAGGAAAGAAATGCCTCCTCTACCTGTTTTTTATAATGTAGATTCTGATCCTAGTCCTATTATCACAGATCAGTTTAATATTAATAATCACACTTATAATAATCCTACTATAAATTATCACATGAATAATGTTCCGGTACCATTTATTAATATACCTTGTGGGTCGTATTATTCTTTACCTCCTATTTTAGTACCTTTTAATAACGTATCTACTTTTGAACAAAGTAAACTGAATACACCGCAGCAAGAAAACTTCGGGAAGAAAGAAAGTCGGAAGCAAGGAAGACGAAGACGTCAGTAATTTTGCATATTTTGTTTTTCAAAGTAATTTCATTCCATATAAGCATTGACTTTTTTTTTATTTTTCCTCAGTATTGAATATCTAGTAGTTATTTAACAGGCTGTGAATTTTTAATCTCCTTAATTTATTAATTTGTTGAACATTTTAATGGTTATTGTTTTTTTAATTTTATTATTTATGAAGAAAGAAGTTACTACAAGAAGGAAGATTGGATTTCGCTATTTTTTCACTGGGCACGTTTTGTACATATTACGTGTGTTTTATTCATCGAAAAATTCTCAATGTGTGGATTCCATAATCGTCTTATTCAAAATCTACCATTATGTGTGTATACGAGTATATAACAACATTTTTTCTATTTTAAGGTTCGTTGACTGTGAAAAATCGAGAACACTTGGAAAAGAAACCAAAGAAACGGAAATTTGGTAAATCATTTGTTGTACGTTGTATTATCAATTTTAACAAAAAAATGCGTTTCAGAACCGCAGAACAACATCATGAGCGAACCTGTAATACGGAAAAGAGGTAAGATTTTTCTGGGTTCATTGTCCTTACTATTGATCGCAATCGTTAAGTGTTTTTTAACTCATTTTAAATGTGTAGATATTAATAGCGACATTTTTAAATAATTTTAAAGTTTTTGTAGGTGGTAATTTAAAAAAAAAAACTATATTGCTAGTGCCATTTTTTGGTTTTTACTTGCCGAGCGTAAGTAAAAGAAATATTCTAATACAGCGACTGGCTATTTTCATGTTTTCTCGACGTCTGCCGTCTGTGTTAATTTTTATTAGGCAGATAACGAAACTACTAGACCGATTGTTCTCAAATTTTAGATGTTTGTCAAAATCATTTCCACCAACAATTTGATGAGGTCCCCGCAAAATTTTGTTTAGTACGTGCCATATAAATTTTATAAAATAATATACTTCTGTATGTGTGGGTTATGAATTTATTGTACAAAATGCTAAAAAATATTTTTTAATTCAAAAAATTAAGCAAGTTAACTTTGTAGCAATGCAAAATCGAGTCCTCGATAGCAGAAAAGCCGTTAACAATCACTATTTTCTTTGATATTTCGATATTTATGGATATTGTGAGTGACACCTTATTTAAAATTGCTTATACAGAATTAATGATTGATGAAGTTTAGTTTTTTAATTAAATCAAGAATGGCTCACCCAATTCTCTAAAAAAAAAAATTAACTTCAGTGGCTAAACAACCAAGTGAAAAGCTGTAGACTGCAGTTTGACCTCATTATGGCCTCATCAGTACAGTGGATATCTAGCATTCCAAGTTATTTAGTATAAATGCCTTAAGTCGATAAGCTAATATTGGCGAGATGTAAGGAATTTAATATTGCGTACATCTCACTATTAAAAAATATATTTAAAGCAGATAACCAATGGACAAAGTGTAGATATTCTCAATTTCTCAGCACATGCTTAACTTCCACTGTTTATGTTTATACATAACTTCACGTTCAAACCGCATAAAAAATTTAATTAAATTGATTTTGTCTACTCAACGCAGAGGAGAGCACTGATTAATTAATTGTCCACACTCTATTTTTTTTTTTTTTTCAAAAATATTTATAAATTTGAAGAACATTCGGCAAAAATGTAAGATGACGGACACATTTTGATTAACGATTTACCATGCTGTAAAATAAGTAGATTTCATAACATTCAGTTTTTGCAATTTCAAAGTTAAATTGTAAAATGTTGTTACACGATTTTGAATATGTTTCCCAAAAATTTGACTGTTTAGTCAACGACACGGATTCATAAATCACATATACATGAGTATGTAATGTTATAAAATTTAAAGAACATTTTGCGAATTTTTTTTTTTCATGATAACTCCTATAAATTACATAAATCGGGGCGGATTCACAAACCATAAGTTTATGATTGTTATTTTATAAAATTTAAATAGCATTTACTATGCAAAATTTTTGAGTGACGTCATCTAAATGTTGGTGGGGATAATAAGACAAATTTTGCTTATCGTTTTACCATTCACACGTTGTTCATAAAATGCAAATAAAACTTAATAACAATCAATCCAATAATTTCGAAGCTTATCTGTCTAAATAAAATCGACACAAAAGAGACTATAGACAAACAGACAAGTCGGTATTCAATTTATTTTGAAGAATACTAAAATATATAATACGAAATTTCTTCCGATATTTGGATTTATTTGTATAAAATTTCCTTGTCATCGTTTTCGTTTGAAATATTTTTTCATTATGTCTTTCGCTTATGTCTACCTCACATATACTCATCACAAGTAGAAATATTTATCGATATTTGTATACTAAACTATGTTTTTATAAACGTAAAAGTACTTATAACGACACAAGTAAATAGTTGCTATTATATTTTTGTTTACGCGTGTTTGTAAAATTATTATCGAATGATACAAACTTATCGAAGTGAAGCTTGAATTCTAACTTGGTAAGTGTTGTGTCACTGGTTGCATATATGCCGAAACAGAAATTATGTAATGGTAACTGAAAACCTTATGTCATATCAAAATACACAAACACTGTTCTTTAGATTCAGATTTGTCATTATGGAGATACTTGAGATGAAAGCAAATATGTTTTCATTAAAGAAAACACATTAAATGAAAAACCATGATACCTTTTTTTTTATTTTAGAGCCCTGTTTGCCTCTTTTTCTAACAGATGGCGTTATATTTTTATTGATTTATTTCAGATAACTTCATCTAAAACGTATAAAATAAAGTTATAATACTTTCAGTGTTGGATTAGGTACCGCTGTTTAAAAATTTACGATGAGAGTGACCAAAAACAAACAGTCTGTTGTATATCCCTACCTATCATTTGGTCATTTTTGTAGAATGCACCCTTGCATTTCGTAACAGTCCCCTATAGATAAAAGCCTGAAAATACTAATCTACACATCGAACAGGGAATTTTTAATTCAACTGTTGGCCTTTAAATAAATTCTCTGTATTGATTATTGAGGTGATGGGTAGAAGGCAGGTGGGGACACTTGGAATATGTATGACTGAAATCTTTGGTAGAATACGCCTATATTTGACAAGGGTGTGCACCCTTGATAAATATTCTAAAAGATGGTGCGCGACGCTAGCTAACGTCAATAACGTCATTAGAGTGTCAGTCACGTGGCGCACCCAACAATTTTGGATATTTTACGTGGCAGTCAATAAAATGTTAGAAGTAAAGATTTAAAACTTTATTTCCATTATTAGATGAGGCCTTAAAAAATTTGTAATATAATAAAAGACTTTCCATTGTCTTAAAAATAGCGTTGATAATCAAAATTGATTGCATGCTACTGCACAATAATTATGACCAATTTGACTAATTATTTTGTTGCAGATTATAGGTCTGTGTTTTGTAATAAAATTACTGTTTTTTCTTTATTCAATTGCATGCATTTCCTGCAAATGGGTTGATTTTGTTAAATAACTATTGTGTTTTTTTTTTATTTGTCATACATATAACCCTAATATCGATTTGTGTAAAGATTTAATTGTATCTAGCTTTCAGGACGCCGAAGGAGAAACCTCTAGCTACCAAAGGAAGGCGAGGTGTTCGAAATCACAAGAATTCGAATTCATCGGAGAACACTTTCGTTTCGACAAGTGATAGTGAATTTGATAAGTTATTAAATAGTGGAGCGTACTCAAATAAACCGTTTAGACTCGATTTGACATCGTAGTTTTCAAAGGTTAGGTGCAGTGGAGCCTCTCTGGGGTATTTGTACATTTTTCTACATATATGAGAGTTTTGTCTGTGATTTATTCTTATAGATTTATTGTAATTTTTCGTTTTTGTTAGTGGACAAAAGTCCTTTGTAAATACATCATCTGTGCTTGTAAAAATTGTATAAATTGTATAACACATGTAAAGTACAAATAGAAAATAATTTTTTAAAGACAATGTTTCCAAATCGAAAATTTTTATCAATCGACTGAATATAAATATTTTTTATGTAACTGAAGCGTGTCATCTCGTATTTTCTTTTGTACACTACAGTAACTTCAACCAAATTATTTTACCTAAAATAAATTATATTATTTCGGTTTTAATTAATGTGGTTGTCTTTAACTAAAATTAACTTGACTCCTAATAAATGTGTCAGTGCTACCCCTCATCACTTTTGAAAGTTGTAAAGCTCGAAAACATTGAACAAATGACATCTGATGGGTTTATCTGGAGATCCACACTATATGAATTTGTCCTGCTATACAAATAAGTAAATCTGCAAGTTTTTCTATTCACTTTTATGAAGTCTTTCCTATAATCTTAAATATCCAAGTAGAGCCATCAAAGACATTTATTTACTGTTCTGTGTTTCTAAATCAAAAGTGGGGCGATGGCATCATGTTCGTTTTAAATGTGGCGGTTGTAATCGGCAGGTTAACCAATGTTGAGTTAATAAATTCACCTAATTATTTGACGTTCGATTGACAGATGACAGCGATGGCGTTGAAAGGATGATTCAGTTGTTGTAATTGGAAAACACGAAAATAAATAAACAACAATCTTAAGGTTTGTGTTTTTATCTGACAATCGCGTTGTAAAATCCTAGATCATTTAATTCGTTATACTTTATTGTTAGCCTCAAGCAATGACCCCAACATGATAACTGAAATTTGAAAAACAATCTAATTATGGAATCGCCCCCTTCAAGCACAACTTGGTCCGAGGCTTTTATCCTAAGCGATGATAGTGGTCTTTTGTTAACAAATAGTTCAATATCTAGTGGTAGCATGAGTGGAGATAGTAGGAGTGGTCCTAATCGTTTACCTTTAGAGGTGAGTTTCCACACCTTAAACGCGATAATTTTAATTATTAACACCGACAATTTAGGACAGTGATTGCGAGGAAAAATCTCTCTCCCAATATTCCCTGGATGGAATGTCTGACATAATGTGTGGAGAAAACTTCAACACATTAAAGAAAGGCCCCAACTGGATTGATTATTCCATTAAACACTCATCCCCCATCGAGCCTCCGCTGGAATTTCAAGACAAACCCACCCCGCATTTACTGGAAGACTTTTTTGACTGTCTAACCGCACAAATTCTGAACAAAGCCTTTGAAGAATTTAAAGACAATGAATTAAGACGACTGAAGTTTTTAAACCATATAGCCCGACCGTCGCACCATTTACTGCTCGGTCGCCCCTACTACACGCCCGAATTCATTCCATTCAGTCCATGTCATGGCAGGCCAGGTTCGAGAAGCTCTCTGGGATCGTCCCGTCTTTCTAGTTCACACAACTCTTTGTCCGTCCCTGCTGCACACAAAGTCGATGATTCAAGCTTTATCACACAGGCAGTTTCGCACGATACGCTTTCGTCAAACCAAATAAGTGATTTGTACAATGTTCCCTTTGATAGTGATATGTATGCCGTACCGGTGGATGTCATTAAGCCACCTATCAAACCCAAAAGGACCCAGCAGAACAAGAAGCGCCGAAGGAATACCTCTTCCGGGTGCAGGGAGATCGAGGTCG